GCCTGTATAACTAATCGTTGAAAGACAGAAGGTGCGTTTCGAAGTCCGAATGGCATAGATAAAAATTCGTACTGTCCATCTGGTGTCACAAACGCGGTATACTCAATAGAATCTGCATGTAAGGGAATTTGATAGTATCCGCTAGCCATATCTAAACATGTAAAATAATAAACCCCTTAAAGTCTATTTATTTGATCTTTTATAAGTGGCAACGGGTATCTATCAGCCACCGTGTTTGAGTTTAATTCTCTATAATCAACACAGAGCCTATCCGAACCATTTTTCTTTTTTACCAATAATATGGGGCTAGCATAAGGTGAACAGCTGGGTCTAATTATGTTGCACTGCAGTAGTTCGTCGACTTTATTTCGAACTAATTCTCGTTCACATGGACTCAGTCGGTATGGTCTCCTTTGAACAGTTTTTCTTGGACCGATTAGTCTAATTTTCATTTCACCAATTTTAACTTTAGTACAAGGAATACCTGTTATAAAAGAATCTGAGTGGTTTGTCAACAGTGACTGCAACTTTATTTTATCTGTCCCCTCAAGTTCAGTATCAATTTCGGCTGACTCATTGCCGGTACATAAATTAACGATTTTAGTTCTTACAATCTTAAATTGATTTGATGAGACGACAATATCAAAACCCTGATTTAGTATTTCTCGCCCAATAGCAATTGCATTTGATCGTCTGCTATTACATAAAACATAATTTCCATACAGTTATCGTCAATTCTTACGTTACTTAGTATTTGTACAGAGCTATATATTCCACTGTTGCCTATGCCTTTTAACATAATATTCGTAAATCGTTTACCAGAAAATTTTTTACTTATCTTTTCTTTCATCAGTGAGCACTCCGCACCAGAATCGAAGGTTATTTCGAAAACTTGTCCTCTATGGTCCAGATATCCCTTGGGCACTGCAACACTACACTGTTCCACTCGTTTTTCCCGGTTGAATGTTATGTTCTTGTCAGCTTCCTTCCTTGTACACTGAGTGGATATGTGACCCAACTCTCCGCACTTGTAGCAAGTTACACTTGATTTCTCAAGATGATGAACGTCTTGCCTGCCATGTCGTTCCTTGCCATCTGTAAATGGGTTTCGGTGCGTCCTGAGTCGACAATCAATCATTTTATGGTGATGATGATTGTTTTTGTCTTTTTGGATGAATGTCAGTTTGTTACTCCATAGGTCCACCTCTTCTTTTAGCAAAAGTGAACGCCTTCAGTTCGGACTGCAACTCGCTTCTGGTTCGAACATTTGATGTGAAGCTTACACGCTGCAAGCGAGCATCAAAACTTGCCATTCCATTTCCATTTGGCGCCATTTCGTCGATAGTTCTGTAACCATGCGGCTTGCGTGAACTGCAAGATTCTCGCCGTCAGCCGGTCGACTTGACAACATGTTTAGAAACATGGCAGCTGGTGTTTCTATAGTGTCAAAACGCTGGATGAAAAGTTCTTTAAACTCGATCCAGGTGATATTTGCGTAGCATACATGAGAAAGCCATTGAGAAGCGCTTCCCTCTAGTGCTGTACTTAGGGCCACGACCAGCGCACCGCCTTTTAATGAATTTTCTTGTAGAATAATTTCTACAGTGGTACACCACGATGAAGCCTTGGCGCCTGCGATGTCTGGGTTAAATTTCGGCAGTTGCACCGATTTGCTCTGTCCTGCGTCAGATGCCGTTGTTTGTAAAGCTCGCACAAGTTCAATTAGATTTTTATTCTGCAACTCCATGATGGTACGCCATGGTCCATCTAATGTTGTAGGTGAAGGGCCAGATCCCACTTCTGATGTCGGATTAGTGTTACTTTCCATTGCGTTAGCGCAGTGAGTTTCGGTCGCACTCGAGTTTTTAACAAAGACTGACTCGAGACGCACAATTCTTGTGCGTGTCTTCCACCGAACCACACTCGGCGACAGCGACAGAACGCTGTCGCCCCGCTAAAACGGGACTTTACCAAACTACAAAACTTAGGCAACCAATCACATAATGTTGCAGTTATGTTTCTGCGAAAATGCATGAAGACGCACCAATATATATGAAGTGTGACCTTCAAACATATTACCAGCACGCGCCTGCAAGGCGCCTATACATTTCTACTACTTACTCTCCGACATATATTTATTAGATTTTAGGTCTTTTAGGACCGAGTATCCAGTGAGGCCGCAAAGATTGTGGAAGGATCTTTTATATTGATTGACCGGGAATGATGACAAGTGAATATTTATGCTAATAACTCAGTTTTCTGTTTCGCATTTGTGAAATTTTGTTGGTTGTCCCTAGAATTGGTATGCTTACATTTTTTATACCCTGAACAAATCAAATAATCGATAAGTCTATCCGCTTTATTGGTAAGGATTAAAAACATGACCGAAATAACTTATATTTTGCACGGCTTCAGAGCTAGAGCCTCCAAATTTTGTATTTAGTTTATGTATATTGTACACATTTTTTTTTATTTGATTAAAGTTCAGCTACAAATATAGCCAATATGTGAAGGAATTCAGAGCCAGGGAACGGTTGGGTTTTGAGTCTTGGTGTAGTAATTTAAATTGCTCTTCGTTTGTTTTAATGCTAAATACAAGCTTTGGAAAATATTTTAAAAAACGTTGTCATGCAAGGACATAATGTTCCATTTTTCATTCACAAATTTGCATAACATAGTATGAATGAGTTTGCTTAGCTGTCTAAGTACTACTAGATCAGCTTTATTTCGATATCTCAACCATTTTTCTCTAAAATTGTGCTGTTAAGTTATGCTTCTGCTAATGTGTGTTTCTCTTTTTTCGAAAATCGCAAAATCTTTAATTCAATCGTTCCATGTTACAACTTCGAAAGATTATTAAATATTGTAAACTTGGATGCTAGTGAGATTATCACTTCAAATTGATCTGTTTCCGACTTGCGTATTAAATATTAAAGTTTTAATCTACTTTATTGAGACTAACTGGTATTACTCACATGGTATTTGAACATAAATTTAATTGGTTAAGGATATTTGGAAAATATTAGTATTGTCCAGCTGTGGAGGCTTAGCAGAATTGATAGATTTTGGTCCAACTCGGCTAGAATGATGTTGAGATTTTAATAAAGATAGCTAATCATATAATAGTTAGAGTGAGAGTTGTATGGACCATTACAGCTAACACATTTAAGACTTCTTTTTTTTTCTGACTTACAGTTGTAGTATTGTGTAATAAAACAATTATACGGATTTATACGGAGTTTCTTTCGCTCTATGTGCTTAACATAAAGGGATTGGGGGTCTAGTCCAATAAGGCATTTTTTAATGACATGGGATCCATTTTATGTAAGTGGCAAGTTGATTCAGAGTTTTTAATATCTTTACACTGGAAATTAATTTCTATTAATATATATTTTTTTAGAATAGGTTTTGTCATTAGTTTCTTCCCCCACATTTCTGATTTCTAAATAGAATGCAGAAATTATTAACATTTTCGATTTTGGATATATTACAAAAAAAAAACGTATTTGAAATTCTAGGGTATCGTGTTTTGCAGACTTAACGCAGTTGCTGCGCAAACTGCGCAGTAAGCAGTACATGCATGAGTAAGTGTGTGTACATCTGTAGTTTGCTATGTATGTATATATAATGCTTGGTCCATTTTTTAGGGAGCCTATAGTAATGTAATTGTCCAGTTTTGGATAAGGGATCCAAAACTGTGGAATATATGAAATTTTCACTAAGGAGCGGCCGCAATGAAACGTAAAAAAATTGATATTTGAAACAAGTCAACAATCAAGTTTTTAAGCTTGTAACTCTGACACTTAAATGAATGAGTAGAAAACTATTTATATTATTTTTATTTAAGCATTAGGGAATGCTATACATGTAGTATTTGGTTATGGTTATACCATATTAGTATTTGCCATTTTTTACAGTTACTCTTTTAAATACAAGCAAGTAAGAAATCTCTAGTTGGGGTGCCTGACTAGGGATGCCCTGGTCCCAGCCCTATTTTCACGAAGATTTGAACTCGACTTTTCACTGAACTCAGAACTTCTAGGCAGCGAACACTTCTGAAAGTTTCAAATCTCAGCCAAAGTAACTGATGACAATTTAAACAAAATTTCGATCCATCGAATAGAAAAAAAATGCACGCATTTGAATATATGTGTGCACAAGTATACGAAAAATTCGTAAGCTTGGCACTGCTTACCACGGGCTTTTGCAAATTGGCAAAACGCTTTGTTTAATACCTTCTGCTTTACTTAACGAATTTTAATTAAATTTTAAGCATACGGTCTACATATTCTAGTGCATTAATTCTTAGCTTAAAAAACCATTTTACAATAGCCACCATTTACAACTGAACTTAAATTTAAAGAACTTATATAAATCTGGAGCCGGTATCCAAAATGTAACACAATTCAAAATTGTAGAAAATATACATAAAACTAAATACAAAATTTGGAAACTCTTTTAAACCTTAAGTAATATAATAAAATAGCTGTATTTCGATAATGTTTTTAATCGATAAGAATAAAGGGAATAGTCATCGACTATGTTTAAAATATTTGATATGCGCGTGCTATACACATAGACATACAAAAAATCAAGTCTACCTGTTATGGATGCTAAGATCGACTCGCTTACACATACGGACCGACGAACAGGGCTTAATCGACCTGGCTGTCTTCCTGATCAAGAATATACACTTTTTGGGGTCATTTGCACAAAACCATTATACCCCGAATTTTCATTCCACCAAATAAGAATACTATTGTCAAAATTTTATCAATCGATTGTAAATACCTTTTCATTTGTTGGCTATTGCCCACATCTAGCAGGGCTTATTATGAACAGATACCGATGCCCCACCACTTTGTTTAATCGTTCCACTATTGTGTTATAGGCAACTTTGAATTGTGTATAAATTGCTTAATAAAATAATTATAATAATAAAAATTATTAACCACCTGAACGGAAATCATTTAAAAGTTAATAATAACGCGAATAAAACAAAGAATTACATGTTGTTTTAATTACCGGTATAAATTAAATATGCTTCTACATATCATTCCAATTCTATTATATGTCGGTCCTACATTTGGTTTCATACAGCAATTGCCCTCACCAAATATACTTTTATTATTGACCGATGATCAGGACGTGGAGTTGCATGGCATGTATCCACTTCAGCAAACTACAAAAATTCTCAGCGAGTTTGGCACTAAGTTTACTAATGCATATACAAATACACCACTTTGTTGTCCAGCGCGTGCGAGCCTGTTAACTGGGCAGTATGCGCATAACCATATGACTTTTAATAATTCGTTAAATGGTGGTTGTAACGGGCATCAGTGGCACACGATTTTTGAGCCCCGTGCATTGCCTGTGCTGTTACAGAAGCATGGCTATCAAACTTTCTTTGGTGGAAAGTATTTGAATCAGTTTAAAGGAGCTGAAGTTCCGCCCGGTTGGAATGAATTTTATGGCCTTCACGGAAACTCGCGCTACTATAACTATACTCTACGTGAAAATAAAAGAAATGTGAGCTATGCGAATATGTATTTGACTGATCTGTTAAGAGATCGAGTGGTGCAATTTATTCATAATGTGATCAGTGAACATGACCAAAAGCCGTTCTTTGCAATGATTTCACCACCAGCCGCTCACGCGCCCTTCACTCCTGCACCGCGACATAAAGGTGTATATTCTCATGTGCGAGCATTGCGTACTCCAAGCTTTAACACTCCCAGTAAAGGTATGTCTGTTACATTATTCTACATTAAAACTTATTAAATTCCTGCAGATAAACATTGGCTGGTTCGATCAGCTCATCGATTGCCAAATTCAACGGTCGTAACAGTTGATGAGTATTTCCAGAAACGGTGGGAAACACTACTCGCCGTTGATGAAATGATGGTGACCTTAGTGTCATTGCTTAAAGAGAAGCAATGCCTTGATAATACTTACATCATCTACACTTCCGATAATGGCTACCACTTGGGTCAATTTGCACAGCCGTTCGATAAACGACAACCCTATCAGACTGACATCAAGGTTCCCCTACTTATTCGTGGACCAGACGTACCGGTCGGTCTTTTAATGCACATGCCTGTTAGCTTGCTAGATATAATGCCAACCATTTTGGAATGGGCCGGCTTGTTGGTTCCCAATTATATTGATGGCCGCTCTTTTAGATATGAGTTGTTACAGATGCACCAAATGAATCCACTATCCCAACAGCGTGTTTTACTCATTGAGTATTGGGGTGAAGGAAACGATGACACATATAATCCAGCTTGCCCAGGGCAGCACACTGACCATCTAGCGGAATGTACACTCGATGCAGATTGTCATTGTCAAGATGCCTGGAACAATACATACACGTGTATTAGAGATTTTCGGTTTAAGCGCGATCGCATTTTTTGTGAATTTAAGGATACTGAGGTAACGAAACTTAGTTTAAAGAAATGATACGAGGCATGTACCTTTCTATATCTAGAATTTTATAGAAGCATATGACTTAATCCAAGACCCCTATCAATTAAAAAATATCGGCTATGAACTGCTTCCAAATGAACGGGCTTTATACGGACTTCTACTCAAAAACCTCACAATATGTGCAGGAAAATCGTGCCATATTTGATCAACCCCGTTATACATATAAATGGTAAGTTGATCAGTATTATGGCAATAAATATCCTGACATACACGACTCTCATTTTAAAATGATTCTTATATATATATATATATATTGCTAATTCTGCCAATAACAATATTTTGATTCTAGTTACAAACCTGCGCTTGCGGATCTAAATCTTGCATAATTTATACATACAATTAAACATATTCGGATAAACCTAGTGCAACGCTCGTTCGATCATTCAATATACGAACAATTTTGTGCGAGGTGATCATAGGGCTCATGTGTGTGTAGAACGACTGTGTTGCTGTTAGTGTTCCCATGCGTTCCGGTGGGGCAAAGTACTAATCCTATAGGCTAGTTTTGCTTTAATAATATTTATGTATATAGCTTTAGTTTGTTTTAAGCAATAAACACACGACCATTTCTATAATTTGTATCGAGTGTTAAGAAAATAAAAAAATAATACAATGAAAATCAACGTTTCGACAAGAATCGAACCGCCACTTCATGATTTAAAAAAAACCTCCCTTCACTGCTGACAATTCAAAGCCTTGGATTCTTCGAGTGGAAGCGTATGCTTGGCGCTGCTTGTCACGTGAATTTGCAAATTGACCAAGGTTTTGTTTAATAATTTTGGTTTAATTTAATGGATTTTAATGAAGTTTTTAGCATATTGTCTATGTATTGTATGGGAGTAATTGTCAGCTTAGTAAAAATGCAAACTACTTCACATATTGGCCCTATTTCAAAGCCGGTATCCAAAATATAACAAAATTCAAAATTGTAGAAAATATACATAAAAAAATACAAAATTTAGAAGCTTATATTATAATAAAATTACACACACTCTACTGTATGACAAGAGCTACACTAGCTATACAGACTGCTCTGCACTATTAAAAATACGCGTTTTATTAAAATATTTTTATATTCAACATGATAACCTCTGTCCAGGGTTCAGGGTATATCCTAGTCTTTACTTACGACTTCAGCACTCTTACTTGTTGTAAAGGGATCTTCGTACCCTTCAATGATTTAATAAAATGACAAGTTTTATTGAGCATCACCATTATGTTTAAAGAGTAATTATGTGTAGAACTTAATCACGAAAATAAAAGAAATAAGAAACCTCTAATCGCTGTACGTGACTAGGAGATACATTGAAACCAGTGCTTACTGTGTTTTTAAATATTTGCATATTAAAAAAATGCTAAGAATAAAAATGCAAACTCCTTTACAATTTCCAACTGAACTTAAATTTAAAAAATATATATTTATACTTTATGGGTTCTGACACGTCCTTTCTGCCTGTCAAAACCATTATACCCTGATATTCCATTTTTAATATATTCAAGGTAAAAAATCTATCTTAGATGAGGGGACTTTCTGTCCTAACAGGCAAAAAGGCGTCGTAGCTTTTAATGGCTGGGTAATAAAAAAGACGGGTACATTTAACAAAAACTGTGCAATTATCCCAATATCAAATATTTACACTGGTATACCAGTGCGATCTTTCAGCTTGCCGAGAACATTCACGTGGACCTTTGAAAATCCGCTGGGCTTTGTGCCTTGTGTTTCCAGATTGTCAATACAAGGCGGGCCTGCAGTAGACGCGCCAACGTCTAAAGATACAGAAGACATCGAAGACGAATGCTTTGAGTCATCCATGTGCAAAGATTGTTGTGTACTGGTGTCAACTAAGGGCAAGACCTCACCGCTGTTAAGTCTTAACTGTGTGGAAAGAGGAATGTAGACCGGCTGTAACTTATCGACCTCATCATCAATAGCCTTAAACTGCCAACTCCAGTTCGCGCGATAAAGGAATGGTCGATGATCGAAGCGATTGTCATCTGGACTATAGATTTCGGCATGAACTGATGGTGTCAGTACAGTCATTTTGTGTCGGTTAATGGCGTAACAGCGAAAGAAATGCTTAACTTTTTCTGCGACTTCTTTTGGACTTAGATCGTTTTTCCAGGTAGCAACGAGTCTGCAAAACATGCTGTAAGGTCCGCAAAAAAATTGTTTACGTAGGCGCCCATATTCGCTCAATTCTGAATAGGTCATTCCCATATCCTCTTCATCTGTTTGAAGCAGCTCCCCATTTTCCAGCAATGGCTCTAATTCGGCAGTGGGCGGAGCGTCGATGATTGATTCTAACACAGTAAGATTGAATCTGCAACAAGTCAATGTACTGTGTTAGTAATCGCTAATAATTTAATATGAATTTGCTTACTTTTTTTTGGCATAACCCAGAAATCGTAGTAAATCCGTCTTGGATATACCGCCAATTGGATTAATATCCGCCGAGGAACAATCATATTTCGTTAGGTATCCGCGCAGCGATTCATCAACATTAGAGGAGCCTAAAACAAGCAAACCACCAGGGCGGTTGCGAACCCAAAGCATTAATTGTGCAAAAACATAAGCCAATACCATGCGAATGCGCGACTGAATATTTTGCAGGGCCAAATTCTGTCGAGCACAGCCGCCCTGCATACGAAAAACTGGTGTTAATCCCGTTACAGCATTAAAAATCCCAAGCAATGCGTTTACTGCCAAGTCGATGCTGATCTCAATATGATAGCTGCCCAGTTGGTTTGCCAGTTGAGAGGCACGGTATCGTGTTTCCTTGCTACTGTTGACACTTCCCATATAACATGTGACTAAAAGTCGATTACATAGCGCTGCTGCATTAATCGGAGTATAGTCAGAATCGGCAAGTATTTTGCGTATATCATATAGCACTTGCGCATCGCCATGTTGCACGGCCTCTACTATTTGCCGGCACATGGAGTAAACGATTGCTGCAGAACTACTGGAATCAACTCCTCCGCTGAGTGGCAAAAAAAAGCCACCTTGACCGGAACGTCGTAGATAGTCCCAAAGCCAACAGGCAGGCCCCAACGCAATTTCTTCTTCTGGTGTGGAATACGTAAAGTGCAGCGGTGGCGTTGGGCTCTTAAGGATATCATCATGTGTAGACATTTCAAAGTCGCACCGAATTCGAGGATAAACTACACTTCTGGCGGCTGATGAACATCGCGATCGGAGACTAACACGGTAAGCCCGAATTTCTTCTAGATCAATTGTGGCCAAGATAACCTCAACATCTTGTAGGGCAAACTGCTTGCCTCGCGCCAAAAGTTCACCATTAAGCGCTATGGCTGAGCAACCATTAAAATAAACTCTTTGGCCATCACAGCCGCGTAGATTACTGAAAAGATAAGCACCCCCGGCCTTAAAACTTGCATTACATATAAGATCGTTGGTAATGTGTGCTTTACGAAGCTCCATATAGCTTCCAGAGCCGTTGACAATTAGCTCAACCCCCGATAGTGACATCTCTATATGCTTGCTGTGAACATTCCATAACTCTTCACATATCTCATACCCGATACACGTTTCACGAGTCGCGATTACCGCATCACCAAATGGTACAGTTTCTTGGCCAGTTTGTTGCGTGATAAGACGGGGCAGAAAATATTCCTCAGTTTTCTGCGCTTTGGTCCAGGCAGTGAACCAGCGTGACTCACGATAGTTGCCATCGTCACAAATTGCCATCTTTGGGCGTATTAACAGCAGCTTACGGTTAAAGAATACCACGCGGCAATTGTACGCGACATTCTGATGCATCACTGGCATGCCCACATCCACTAGCATATTCTCGCTGTAATTGAATCAAAGAAATTAACAATAACCACAAAAAAGTTACAAATGGGAATCATTAACGCTAACCAAAAAGGGGACATCATGATTTCCAGGAATGTTTCCCAAGAGTGAAGAAATGTATCTGGTTCGCGAAAGTGATCTTCGCAACTGTAGCCACTGTCGAAAACAAATAAAATATTTGAACATTATAAGAATATAAAAACCCCTTTTCCTTGTACCTACCATACTTCCAGCTCTGGCCCAGTTCGATAACTGGCACCCATATCCTTAGCCTCCAGTATGGACTGTAAAATCCTGGCCAAATTTCCCTCAAAATCGAGAGCCCACTGATTGAGAGTGGTTACTGCGACAGTTATTTTGCGTCCCATTTCGTTGCGAGCAAAGAGTAGTGTTTTCAATGAATAATTGAAAGTCTTAAATAGGCTGTTATCAGCTGCAGTACAATGAGTCGAATCAAAATTTCTGAAAGCTGAAAACAAATGCAATTAAATTAATTCGACGTTTAAAATTACAATGGCAACAACCTGAACTGAGCAATCAAGCCTGAAATTCTATTTGCTATTGCTATTGGCGTTGTCAATGGTTTTATTCAAGCTATTGATTTAACAAAGTCATAGTCAAAATTAGCACTATGACAAAACCGACGAATATTAATAGATTTTCGTTTTCTGTTTGCACTTACGACGAAAAACGATTTGGTGGTGTCCCAACCGAGGAAGCTTGTGTAACATGGATACAATATATTTGCATTCGTAAGCAAGCAGGCATGTATACTAATTCTTATCAATATCTACGAGTAAGAAAGAAATACCCAGTAATATTATAAAAACGAGTCCATTAAGTATTATGAATCATACAAATTTATGGAAAAGTAAGCAGTTATTATTTTTCGGAATGCATAGGCGAACTGAGAAAATATCAGAACCTGAAATACAGGCATAGATCTAATTTGTTTTTAATTATCGATAGCGTACTTTATTTCGATGGTATTAACAAAAATATTTTTATCGGTATATATAATTTTTTAAGAGTCAAGTTTTTTAAGAAGACATACAGGCATGTTGTTCCCGTTTGGATATTATTTGCCGTTTCTTTAACAGTTAAAAAATAATTATAATAATTGTGATCTTTTATTAACATACAGATGTACCTATGTCTAACGTTAAGTTAATTGACAATGCAACTTTCATTGTCTGCTAACTTCATAACAAGTAGCGCTGTTCTTAAACATTTTTTAATATTCTTAATAATTTGGTACTCAATTGCGTGAGATATATTTTTTACTATTTTCTTCGACTAAGTTTTCTGAAAATTGTAAAATTATTTTTCTTTAAGAGCTAATCCGATAGCAGCTTTTCAATTTCCATATTTTTATACGCTGAACCCAGTGTAAACGGGGAATCAGGTTATAATGGTTTTGTTATAGTGACGTAACAGGCCAGGCAGAAGACGGCGTGGCAGACCCCATAAAGTGTATACATTTTTGATCGAGACGACAAGCCGAGTCGATTAAGCCCTGTTCGTCTGTCCGTCCGTACGTCACTCGGTACGTCGCTCCGTGTTCGATCTCAGCATCTATAAAATCTAGAGAAAGTTTTTTTAGGTCCGAGTACAGTACACGCATGTCAAGTTAATTAAAAATAATCGACAATTCTTCCCGTTATAGTTATCGATTAAAAGCATTATCTAAATACAGCTATTAAATAATATCTCGTACGACATAAGGGCTAGCTTATGTAAATTATACACAATTTTGATTTTTGTTATAGGGTACAGGCTCTAAATTTCCCCAAATTTTTAAAATTTTTTCTTTTACAAAAGCACGTGGCAACCAGTGCCAAGCCTACGCATACATATATATGTGTACACAGCCATGAAAATGCGTGTGTTGAAAGGCGGCGTTGGGATTTGCGTTGCGTTGTTGCGTTGTGTAGCCAAATTATGTTCTGAAGTCGGTTTTAGTTGTCTTTCTTTTAATTTTTAATACAATGTATGCAAAATATTAACAAAAACGCAGGTATGAATGCGTTAGGGTATCTCCTACCCTATATAAGATACCCCGACTAGAGCAGTGTTTTATGGTTTTGTAAAAATGTGACAAGTAGAAGAAGGCGTGGCAGACATTATAAAGCTTATAAAGTTTGTCAAAAAACTCTTAACAAACTGAAAAAAATCAAATTTTTGGCTTAAACGCCTTTTCTGAACGCACCGATTGCAGAATCTACAAGAGCTGGAGAATTGTATTTTTTCTAGCAGTTCCATTTGTACATGTATATAAATTAAATTTTCCGACTTTTGCTCTAAAGACGTATGAGATCGAATTTAATAGCAGATATTGAATTTATGAATATATTATATATATATATATATATATAATATTCATAAGTGCATGTACAAATGGAACGTTAATAATTCAAGTTTAATATATATTAAATATAAATAAATGGCAATCATTTTTCTACCTATTTCTAAAGTACTTTTTATGGTACAATAAAAAATGTGATTCTATATTAATTAGTCTGTTGGAAACAGCCAACATCACACTCAAAAGTTTCGTTTTCAGCGGATCCAAGATTAAAAACATTGAGTTTTTTTTTCAAATAATATTAGAATGAGTATGTTTTTGGCGAAAATATACCCGAATATAATAATTAACATATTTAAGACGCTATATTAAGTCATCAAATGTTCTTTTCTTTTTCGTATGGCTTTTTTGGAGCAGGCCGAGACTGTAATTTCGTTAAGTACATATACACATACAGAGGCAGACAACATAGTTTGATTTGAGCACGAGAAAATTCGGTTGAAATTAACACTAATTTAAACATTATACAAAATTTGTGCGCGAAGCGTTTCTCAACGGTTTTCACCCACATTCAGCATTCAAATACAGGAAGTGTATTGACTGTTAGACAATCACAGTGGATTCTAGGCACACATAGTGCAGCATGCAGAAAATCGCTAGGGACAATTGGGTGGCAAGGGCAGCGCATGAAAATATTGAAATCCAACATCAGAAACAATGTGATGGTAAGTCAACATTTTAAGCATTAAGATTTTGTCGTTGATAGTGATCGGTAAATATTGAAAGCATTCATAATAAAGAAGTTTGGTTTCTATCAAATCAAATTTTTCTATATGAACGCATATTATTTCTGATAAAAAATACTATTTCTTCTACAACATAAATTGAAATATTTAGGACGTTATTGAAGCGATGTCTAATAAGAAGGCGACAAAGCCGATATTACAGTATAGTATTCAATGTTAATCTTATCATATATTGAGCCGTTATTTGGATAGGCTTATCAATGCCTATTAAAAAGTGATCTTTATATATACCTCATTGGAGCGTAGCGAAACGAGTGTTGTTTGACCGTGAAAGTTGCAGTTCAGCGGTATTGTTAAGGATATATGCTCCTAATATAATTTAAGAGAAGTAAATTCGTACTCGCATTTGTTTTTATATAGCTCTTAAACTTTAGGTGATGTAGATTTATTTTAGTTTGTCATATACCTATGGTTATTGATATATCCACAATATATTTTTGACCTTGGATTGTAAACGCGAGCATATCATCCAAATTTCACTCCGATCACGCCCGACTTAAGAATTTGTACCTGGTTTTTTTTTTTGTCAAGATTAAAAAAATATAATATATTTTTTGTCGACATGTGTTTAATGTAAAGAAATATTGTAATTCATAATTTCTTTTAGAAGCATTTTTAAACACAATTCAGATCTATGACTAACACATAAACGCCGATGCTAGCATTAAGTGATCATTGAAGAATACATGTCGCTTACTGATTACACCTTACCTTGAGATTCACGGCAACTTGCCAAATTAGACAACACATAAATATTGTGATCAAGATCATTGCCGCTTGCTCTTGGTGACATAATGCAATGTTGGGCCGGTTTGCTGCCGCTGATAAGTTTCACGACAACTGTTTGGAATGTGTCCAACATCAACAGCAGAAATAATTAAGAAAACTCTAATTGGCAGTGCCCAACTAGAAGATACCCTGAACCTTGATCAATCTGCGCTTTTAAATATACTATATTTCTTGAATCTATAGCACGTTTATAATATAATTAAAATCAATAAAAGAATTTAAAAAAGTGCTATTACCTTGAGTTGAGTTCACAACTTCTCGGCAATGCTTATCGCTTCTACCAATGCTGCTACTTTACCTGATTGCTCGCGTATTGGCAAATTCAAACATAAAAATGCAGCTCTCTGCATAAAAGATTGCATACATATTCAGCATAACATATTATAATTTGTCCATTTAATACAAAATTTTAACTCTTTCACACATGGTTATACCATAAATTTTGCTTGCCATCCTGATCAAGAACCTTTATACTTTATGGGGTCTACCATGCGTCTTCCGGTCTGTTGCATACAATTTAATGAAATCATTATATCCCGATTTCACATTTTCTGTGGGTGCTGGGTATAAACGGGGGAAAACACTTATACAGACTGATAACCAGGTGGACAGATGGGGACAGTTCACAAAAAAATATACTCACTTCATCAACGAGTATGTGGATTAAAACTAAATATTGTAAATGCTTTAAGAATATATATGAATGCTGCAGATCTTTGCGAGGATGTGTATTCATTGTATAATTCTTCAGTCTTCTAATAGTGTGGGAAGCATACAACGAATAACAAAATGTTTGACAATTAAATTCTTTCTATACACATCTGGGTCAGCTGTTTGACTTTTAGCGGTACATAGCAAAGCCATCGCCATATCCAGCGGTGGTTGCATTTTATTTGGTATTGTTTGAATTTCAGCGTACGATAGCTACCTGCTTGTTTTTTTTATTTTTTTTGTTGCCGTATTAGCTATAGTTCGACGTCAACAGCTCAAGAGGGCTCAGTTGATTGCAAACAACACGGCGAAACACAAGAACACGAAAAACAATGACAAAAAAGTTTTTAGTCTGATTGTAGATAAATAAAATATAAAAATATGGCTAAATTGTGACCCACATACGTTGAAAAAATGTAAGAAAAAAAATTTTTTTTAAGTAATTGTATGTCAAATGTGTAAACATAAATTAAAATATTTAGCTTAAACAATTTCCTTAATTTTCATAAAAGGACCAGTCTTGAGTAATTGGAACAACTTGGCTGGGCATGTTCTAAATATTCCTGATAAGCAAATGTATAAACATTAAAATTTTGTGTTAAATTGAGCTGATAATTAAAGGATATTATGCAGATTTTTACTTTCTGAACTAATGACAAACACGTTACTTTAACAAGTTAAAAACTTCCCCTGTTCAGGTTGGGCGTTACTATGGACTTCAATGGATTCAGGGGCGGTCGTGTGCAGTATCTACAATCTCAGTTATTTCCAATTTGCACACTAACAACATCCAATGGAGGTAAAAACTGTTAAATATATTTATGCAAACATTTAGTGACAATCGAATTTTTTCTAATCATCCGGTATAATTGGTTTAATTAACATCATAAAAGTGCAGGACTTGGCATCTGTTCCAATATTTTTAAAGCTAGGAGTAGAAAATATATCTTATTAAATCTACTACACGTTGGGAATAAATATTAAAAAGACTTTGATAGCCGTTTTAAGTTAATATTAGCTGCTGCTTCTTGTTTTGGTATTTTTTTTTTTACCTAGTTAAAATCTATTGAGCAAGTCGATATGAGTGATAGAGAGCGTTTATAGGAAAAATTACCTAATATGTAAATTTAATTGGCACTAATATAAAAGTATAGAAATAAAATCATAAATAATCCATGGTTTGGATTATTTACAGGATTTATTATTATGTAAATATAATTACATTTGATTATTCCCCTTTTTAGTGTTATGGATTTTGAATGGGCATTAAATTATTATTCAAGAATCATTGAGTCTTAAGTCTTTCAGACTTTATAGTTGCTCGTCTGTAAGCAATTATGGAACATTTTAATTTAGATAGGGCATGCGTTTTATGTTGCAACGTTATTGTCGTTATGACAACGTCAAACAATGTTCTAAGCGTAAGTGCCCAATTATATTATATTAAAATTCTCTATAGAATATCAAAACCATGAGTTCCATGTTACGAATATTGAAGTATAAACACTGACGCTACAATATTGTATTTTTATTCGGTACATGCTCATTTTTTACTGTCATAATAAAATCTTCATTTTGAGATTTTAAGATGTATGAAAATTGTATTATAACTAAAATATATTTTTGAACATATGCATCCCAAACTAGCAAAATAATGTTAATCTTTTATCGATCAATCGTCGGAAACAGAACTTTGGGAAAAATGGAAAAATATATGTTAAAATGTATATAATGGAAATTAATACATATGGACATTGCATTCAAAACACCATTAAACATATTCTAATTTTTAATTAGGTAAAAAATTGGTCTTTGGACGGACCTATTTGCCGGATTTCAATATTGTAATTTAATTTTCCGTCGATTAAATAAATTGTATTGCGTAGTCGAAAATGAGTGAAAATTTAAAATGAAAATAATTGACCTTCGAAAACCTGGAAGACTAAAAACAAACTTGAAAACATAATATGAAAATTATGAGTATACAAGCGCGGTGAGAACTCATCCTATTTTTTTGGAAAATTTTATTTTTATAATTTTTTAATCTTATCATTTCAATTTGTATACTCATTCGGTTAGTATGCTTTTCCAAAAAAAAATAAGTTGTGATTTACATAAGGTATCTTTCAGTCGGACAGCCGCGACTAAAACAGTTTTACTTGTTATTACAAATATTTTTTAATGTATTTCAATTTCAATGCCTTTTTTTAAATGCGAGCCAAAAAATTGCTGATTATATGCTGCGGCAAATGAAAAGCTTCACAATATCCCAATATTTACGAGGTTAAATACGATATAAAAGCTTTTCAGTCTGTGTTGCTGTCTCTATCGTTCGGTGCAATAAATAATTTTCCCTGCCACTGTCGCCGCCGTCACGTCTCATTTTCATAGCCCCATGCTGATTGCTGGTTGCCGAGTTAGCTGAATGTATTGACGTCGAAGTCGACTGGGCCGAGAAAAGAATTAACATATTAATACGTTCATTTAATTGGTCTTTGGGTTTAGTCAAAAACGAATTGCGCGATTAACAACGACGGGCTACGACAATAATAATCGAGTAAATCGGACATACAAACGTAAAAACACGGTTTTTATTGAAATCTTTTTTTTTAAACTAAATTATTCACGTATCAGACAGAAAAAATATCTGTGACAACATTGCTAAATATTTTTGATGTTATACTAATAACAAGTCTATTTTGTGTCATCTCTTATATATAAGCGTTGCATGTGTTCAGTTTATTATTTGTTGTTGTTAAGCCTAATGTTCGCTTATATATAAATCGTGGTGTATCTAGCATATGTCATCTATATATATATATATATATATACTATATATACAATATATTTACAATATATTATGATTCGCTTTTTAATTTAAATGTCTATAAAACGATAACTTAATGTGTGTTTACAGTAGTAGTCGTTCCTATTATTATTCCTTTTACCTTTTACATTCCCTTAACCAACATTTGTCATTCTAAATGGGTTAGGGATATTTTAATTTCTAGTTGGTTTTAACCAATTAACTATTTAAAATTTATTTAAAATTTATTTCCACGTATTTGCCGATCTAGTCTACAAAGATTAGACTTGAACCGTGTGATCAGTAACTTAAGCTAGATCTGATAAAATTGAAATAGTTGCTCTAAGTTTTCCATTTATTTATTGTGCCAATTTGTCTCCGTTGAGCTACAGATGATGTATAAATTACCGATAGTTGTACTAATCTTAAATAAACATTTCAATTTTTTATTTAACTTTTACGAACTTATTAAAAATATTTCTCTTTTAATTGTCCAATACATTTCAATTTTATACTTTGTAAGCCACTCAAATCTTGTTCAAACAAAATTAAAGATCGTTTAGTAGATTTTAAAACGACTCTCTATTTAGTTGTATGATGCAAATATTTAAAAAAAAATCAAAACAAATATGTATACTATAAAATAAAGAAGACAAAAGTTGGCAACGAAATTCATTATATTCTCAAATGTGTTGTGAGGTCTTTTATGTAAATGTAATCCAATGAATAAATAAATGATGTTATTTGCTTTTTCGAATGTTGTCTTTTACAAAATATACAAATTTCAAAATATTTAAAATTAAATTTATTTTTCCACCCATTTTAAAACTAAAGTATTCTTTTAACATAAAATATACGAATTATATTTGTATATTACTTATTTTTTAATGAGCTAACATTGCAAAAAATTTAGAGCTTGCGTATATTTTTACCGCTGATTGTTTAATATTGATTTTTAATCCTATCGTATATGTGCTTGGCCACCGATTAACTCTGCTATGGTAACGAAAAAACATGAAATAAACATTTCATTTTGACATATTCTGAGCTTTCGGCTCGCTTTTAGAAATTAATTATTCACATTGTTTTGTCCTTCAAAATTTTATTGATTTGGTCAGCTAATTAATCGCATATTTTTATCATTATATTTATACATAAAATAATATTCATAAAACTATTATATCCTGAACTCCCGTTTTTAGCTCAGGATATAATAGTTTTATGAAAATGTATGTAATAGACAGAAGAAATTGTGGGACACCTCTCAAAATGTATATAATCTTAATCAGGACGGCAAGCTGAGTCGATATAGAGATATATTTTTGTCCACAAAAACTAGAGGTGTCTCTAAAATTTTAAATATTTACTCCTCTATACCATACGCGGTTTATTTTTGCAAGGAAACATCGCCGCGCTCATACGGACCATGTTTCTCTGGTTATACCGACTAAACTCGTCGCGCTGATCAATAATGTTTACTGTATTGGGTCTGCCCCGATTTGTTCTGCCTGTTACATACATTTTCAAAAAACAAAACAACTTAAATTCTCATGAGCTCAGGCTATACAAAAATGTTTGTAATTGTTTGTATTTCTGTATACTATAGAGCATATGCTCAATCCTTTTTCAACGAAATGTTTTTAAACAGTATAGAGAGATTATAAAACACTGGATTTTCTAATCAAAAACAAAGTAAAGTACTGGTGGATTAAAATAGGATATGTTTAATATGTATTTTTATATATAGTAGTTTTTTATCTGCCTATTTAGCAGGCTTCCTTGGAAATTTTCTTTCGAAGGGTCTGAAAACAAACCAATTGATTGTTAACACTGATGAAAAAACATTAAAGCCAATTGCACGATTAAAGGAACCTCGGGATTTATTCGCCCTGCCTAAAGACAAGGACAATGATTGCTCACAGCAGGCCCCCAGATGGCCGGTAGAATGCCAGGTAAGTTTTTTGAAAATGTTGCTAACTCCAGTTCTATCAATATACTATCAAAATGCAAATATTCAAAACGTCAATTCTCTAATAATTGAAAAAGATATTGTTTTTTGAATCCTAATCTGGGAAAATTTTCATAATCTTTGTATACATCACAGTACCTGTACCTGTATAGTAAATTTAATATTGGTAGTTTTGTGCTGATGTTTTTTATGCTTTAAAACTAAATCCAAATATTATTTAGTTTAGATAAATGACAAATAAATTTATAAATAACCACATCCATCGATAGAACAAGGCTTTTAGGATCATTGGATCATCTTATCGTTGCAATCGCGATGTTCATCTATATTCTTATTTTTATATATATTGTTATAACCGGAAGCCACTGCGTGCAGTCCAAACTTAAATAAAATTAAATAACGCTTACTTGCTATGCGTTCGTACGATTTTAAAAAGATGGGAAAACACATCCAAATCGAATTATTCGATTGTATCCTCTTTACCTTCTTTCATGAGGATCGTCAAAACTTGGTTTGAGTTTAAACGTAGTCGCATGTCGGTCAGAAGGAGACTATGGTATTCGCCAGAAAGATGAAAGATAACCACTGTTTTCTCGGATTCAGAAGGTAAAAGGCAAAACGGTCACCGGTCAACGGTCACAGACTCACACCTCCGCCGTCGCTACGGCCAAATTTGTAGACTTAAGCTATGAACTGCTGCTCCATCCAGCGTACTCTTGTTTTTTGAGAAATAAATCGCCACTTTCCAAATTCTAATCCCTATTGTGTAGGCTAAGTATTTATCACCCTCTGCGCTCATAGATAATACCTAGAGTATTGAAACCGTCACCTAATAGTTTGGCACTCTCAATAAAGACAATTAGTTATGAAGTCCTAAAAACCAAGTTGATTATAGCCCATTAAACTCATTTTTCAGGTCATTGGTGAGCGAATCATACACATTCCTTTTGTACCAGTGCATCCCGAACCACTTAATGTGCCAACGGGCAATGAGTTAAAGCCTCGTCCTGTTGGAGAGGAAAACGGAATTGTTGTATTTTCCTATTGTCCTATAAGTGCTGTAAACTACGTGAGTATTACAATTTTTTCTTATAATACCAATAAATAGGCTAAATCTGCACACTAAAATAAAATGTTTGGGAGGGTAGCCATAAGATGGGGATTATCATAATTTTATTGACTTTCAACAATATAACAGGGGAGCAAAAATATCAAAATCAAGACAGAGGATAAGTCAAGTGAAGATTCGGATGACTCTTCGGATTCTAGGAATGAGTTCATACCTGTTAGTCGGGGAACGACGCTACAAGCAGGGAAAACACAGCTGAACGCAGTGTCCAATCTGTTAAATAAATTAGATGATCATTCCACAAGCAACTCTCAGGATGACGATGATGACTACGATGTAAGTGTGGATGGTAAGGAGACTCGTGAGAAAACTGTTATACAAAGTCTCACTGATGCGAAGAAAAAATTGTTTGGTACTACAACACATAGTGCAGATGTTAACAAGTTAACCACAAAAGGCACTACCAGAATCGACAATATTTGGAAAACCAATAATACTGAGTACAAGCCCGCTTCGCCGCATTACGTTCTTAGTCAGTTTGGCAAAAAAGTATCTAAGGCGATCATTAAAAAGATAATTGATTACGACGAAAAGCCCTCAACTGGTACTAACAGCTTAACCTCAGAAAAGGTACAAAATAAATATGCAGTTACCCCATTTAAGCTTCCCAAAACAAACATTTCGCGTTTGGAAGTTGCTTTCCAAAGTGATTCACAACAATCATTGAACAAAGCTTCACTTTCTCGCAAGAGCAATATGATCAGTGGTATGGACGAAGACATAAACAGCAGTGACGATTGCAGCACAGATATTAATGACACTATGAAAGACAATGTATTGAGTGGCTGCGGTGGGGCAATTTCGGTTGGTCGTCTAGCTGGTGGCGCTGATAAGCGTCCCCGAACTAGTTCGAGCTCTGTATCGGACACAGAAACGCTAGTCGGAGATGAGAGCATGTGCAGGCTTACATGTAATATTCAATGAAAATAAAAATTGAATTTAGGCATCAGCACGAGTCGAAATCTCAATCTCATTTCTAGATATTCTTAAAAATTGGTTTTTTAGGATTTTTTTAATGTCAAGAAAATTTGTATAGTCACATACAACATGTAATATATTGTATTTCTTGAGTATGAGAATTAAGCTAGTGCTGAGATCTAATTTCATTTAACTTCAACTAAACGTTAAACATAATCTTTGCCCTTAGCAGCACCTGATGATAAAATGCCTACTGAATTGCCGTTGGTTTCAACACCACTTTGTTCAAGAGCCGTAAGCATGGCTTCAGCAGTAGCAGCTGTGGCAAGGGGGCGTCGTCGTGGCTTTGAGTCAATTTCGAGCAATATAGCGGTAGCTCATTTGACTTCTAGCACAAATAACAGCACTTTTGAACATAACGATAGACATAATCCTGAGTTTAATATTAATGATCGGGCATCTCTTCAATCTCAACATCTTTCCTATGATATTCCCCAAATGCAGTTCAGTCGCTCGTCGGTGGGCGGCGCTAAATATGTGTCCAACTGCCATCCCATGAGTGCGGAGGAGTATGAAAGTCTGGAGTTTGAATCGCGCTTCGAATCAGGAAATTTGGCTAAGGCAGTGCAGATCACCCCCACTTATTACGAGCTCTACTTGCGTCCCGATCTTTATACAAGCCGATCGAAACAGTGGTTCTATTTTCGCGTTCGACACACCCGTCGTAACATGCTCTACCGATTCTCCATAGTAAACTTAGTAAAGTCAGATAGCCTATATAATGATGGAATGCGACCAGTCATGTACTCTACCTTGGGTGCCAAGGAAAAAAACGAGGGCTGGAGAAGATGTGGCAATAACATATCTTATTATCGTAACGATGATGAGTAGGTATATGGATAAGTTCTAAATTTCATCTAATATACCACATTAAATTCTTTCCGCAGAAGCAATAATAACACCAACGAAGAGGATGAGGATAACTCGAGCTACACACTGACTTTTACTATAGAGTTTGAGCACGATAATGATACAGTATTCTTTGCTCATAGCTACCCTTACACATACAGTGACTTGCAGGTATGTCAAAAAATTATGTTATGATGTCAGTAATTAGTAGTGCATTACTTGTAGGATTACCTAATGGAAATACAACGTCATCCTGTAAAATCAAAATTTTGCAAACTACGTTTACTCTGTCGTACGTTAGCAGGCAATAATGTGTATTATCTCACTGTTACCGCACCATCTAATAATGAGGATACAACGCGGGTAAACGGCTAAAAATATAAAATCTCGCTTAAAATTAATTTTGTATTTTAATAACAGCGAAAAAAATCAATTGTGGTGTCAGCACGCGTGCATCCCAGCGAGACGCCTTCATCATGGATGATGAAGGGTCTGATGGACTTCATAACAGGAGATTCTACAGTAGCAAAGCGTTTACGTCATAAGTTTATTTTTAAGCTCGTGCCGATGCTAAATCCAGATGGCGTAATTGTTGGTAATACTCGCAACTCGCTAACTGGGAAGGATTTAAATCGTCAATATCGAACTGTTATTAGAGAGACTTATCCATCTATTTGGTACACAAAAGCGATGATAAGAAGGTAGCTTACTTACTCACAAATAATGTTGATCTATAGTTCATTCAATCCTTAGACTGATAGAGGAATGTGGAGTGGCCATGTACTGTGATATGCACGCTCATTCGCGCAAGCATAATATATTTATTTATGGCTGCGAAAACAAGCGTAATCCGGAAAAACGGCTTACTGAGCAAGTCTTTCCGTTAATGCTGCACAAAAACAGCGCCGATCGAGTATGTCCTATTTTTTATGTTAGTTGACATTCTTTTCCTTAAAAAATATTTTCATCATCTATCGATAGTTCTCATTCGAGAGCTGTAAGTTTAAAATACAACGGAGCAAGGAAGGCACAGGACGTATTGTTGTTTGGATGCTGGGCATTACGAATAGCTATACAATCGAGGCATCTTTTGGCGGCTCTTCGCTGGGATCACGTAAAGGCACTCATTTCAACATACAGGTAATAGGCTTTTTGCTTATTGAATTTGAAATGTACGTAGAAATTTTATATCGATTATTAAATTTTCAGGACTATGAGCACATGGGACGTGCATTTTGTGAAACTTTATTGGACTATTGTGATGAAAATCCGAACAAAGTAAAGCGACATGCTAAATTATTTAAGCAAATCAAAAAGATAAGAAAACGCGAGAAACGCGAACAGAAAGCATTGAAATTACAAAAAATGGCTGATCAGGGATGTATTCTAAGCGAAAAATTAAAAGTAAAACGTTCTGTGGAGAGAAGTGTCTCCTAGGAATGTCTTTAATTTATTACACGTATATATTAACACAAATCCCTAAATATACCGCCAGTCAACCGCTTTTATAAATGGTTAAATATATGTAAATGCTGTGTGGTTGTATTTTTTGCTGTTTCGCTAATTAGTCAACAATATATTAAAAAAATTAAACAGTTGTGCTTTAAAAGCGGTGACTAAGGCCATCGTATCGTTAAGATATATCAGTTATGAATTTGAATGCTATCTATCGCTAATCGCCGTTAATATATATATATATAGATATATATATATATATATATATAGATATATATATATATATTAAATTATTAAAGGCATATAAATATATTAAGTACATTATATTTAATATCTCACATAAGTAGACGTTGCTTGCAAATAACTTTTAGAACATTGTAATCTTTTTTGTTTGTTTAAATAAAACAATTGTAGTTAGATGCTGTAATATGTATTGAACCAGCTTTACAACAAAGTCTATACTATTAACTTTTTATTTTATATGTCATATATTGTTCTAATTATCTTTTTTTTGCCTTTTTATAATTTTTCACTAATCCTAATGCATTAACATTTACAATAGATTTTAAATTTACTCAAACAACAGGAAAGACTACGCTCTAAAATAATCGAAAGACTGATGCGCGAAGGCTCAAGTGCCGATGAACCATTAAATATACCGCTTTCCGATTACTCCAGGTAGGTTTAGTTTTCTTGAGCATTTTTCAAAGCAAATAAAGTAACTTGCGCATCACCTTGAATTGGTTTTAAGACAGTGGACTTAAATGAATACCATTGAATATTTATTTTTCTACTTTGCTCGAATAATACAATTGTTTACAAAGATAAATCCCACACAGTGATGATTGACGCATTATCCTTTAATACTTTTAAAGACAGTTGACCAATGGGTTCACAAACAATTTTATAATGATTTTGTATTATTATGTCTTGTATTAATGCAAGCCATTTCGCCACTTTAAGACTTAGAGACCTGAAAAATTACATTTACCCCAATTCTAGAGGTACTTTTACCAAGTATTATGCTGTAGGTCGCCGAGTTTGACATTTTATTTATTATGTGAACGCAATCGAATTAGTATGGAGCTTAGCCATTATTATTCCTTCGTATTTTTGCGCAAATGTTTTTTATACATTTGTTAAGCTACACCCACTGGAAATTAATACATTTTTATGAACGAAGTAATGGAGAGCTATGGCCATGCACATTTTTTAAATCGTCTATACAATTTATATGGATTTTCAACATATTGTATAAGAATGTCACACCATTTTATAATAGTACAGATATATACATTTAAATCGTTTTCCCATTATAATTGTTTGTCTTAGCGACGAGGGTAACTGCAGCTCTAGTTCTGACAATGAAGGCAAACATTCGATTACAGCCTCAGATCTTGAAGGCCCTTGCTGTGCGCCTATTCGAGCGCCGCCCAGTTCGCCTGAGATTATGCATGAGATTCGCAAGGTAGGTGCGGATTTAAAATTGGTTTCTATAAAAGCACCCTGAGCACACCACTGGTACGTTCACTCACTACCAACAGTTTCGAGTACGTCGAATGCACAAGGTGATGCATGTTTTGGATCAAATATACTTTTCACCGGTTCTTCAGCGAAAGTTTAAGGCTCTTGCGCGTCTTAAGCGCCGCCGCCATAAATTGGGATGCAAGGTAGTCGGTTCTAAGCGTGCCACTGGTGGTGGCGTTGGACCAAGTTCACCAAGTAGCAATATCAGTGAGAGGATGATAAGCAGCGAAAGTCCTCAGATAACAATCAAATCCACACGGCAGCCACCAGAATCCGAAAGCTCGGAGAGCAATGGATCTCAGTCGTCAGATTTGTTGACTGATACTAGCAATGAGGTAAATCAGACTGGTGGTAAACAGTCGAATCGTAAGCGAAACAAGAAAAAGAAACATATGCCTACTGAAAAATGTAAGACTAAAGCATTGAACCGAAAAATGCGTATCGACCGCAACTTGAGACTTTGGCTGGCTAACCGACGCATTTTTATTTTTCGCCGAAAGAAGGTACATACAAGAACTGTGCACTTTACACTATAACAATACAAGTATATCTTCGGCTTGCCGAACCAGTTCTAGTATCTATTTGGAGTTGCAAATGATTAATTTTCAAATTCAACAAATACAAAAGTATATCAATATACAAAAAAATAGCATTCATATGTGTAAACAATATTTGTCGCATATTCAGAAAGTGTTTCCAAATTTGATTCTTAAGAAACTCCATTTTGTTTATAAACACTTCTACAATTTAAAATGTTTGTCTGCCAGTTTCCAACATGAAAGAAGGCACTAATTGATTTTCAATGTTTTAGAATCGTCGGCAACGTATCCGAAATAAGTCGGTTAAGAAGCGTGGTGAAGTGGTCCGAACGCCACTTGATTTGCCTACCACTGATCCTGGTTCTGATTTGCATTTTTCAACAGACGATGAAGAGCTTTTTCCAACAGGTAACGTCACATTTGGGTCAGTGGTACCTCTTCGTCACACTCTTCTTCAGAGTGAGTTGCAACGTCGATATATCGAGGAAATTGGTGACTTGGTAGTGCAAAAACCGAAACCAACTCATATGCCGCCAGAATTAATCGTAACAACACCTTCCAAAAACACCGGTTCAGGTGGGCTTAAAAAATTGGAAGTATACAAATTAACGCCTAGCACAGCACCTGAACAACAAGGTGGTCAGATGAATAGCCAGACAAACGGTCCAGGGACTCGACGCACTTATTCCTGGCATAATCTCAATCAAGATAATGGTCGTGCCAAGCCGACTTTCTTCATGAACGAATCGAAGCCGGCCGTCAAACTTCTGAAGATGCCACCGAGGCGGTAAGTTTTATACCCTCCAGTGCATATCATTTTTTGCCTAATTCTCAAATGCAGCAGTGTACCGAACAATTTCATTCCACTTGGTCAACACAGACATGGCCATACAAGCCATGCTGAAGATCTTCATGTGAAACTCTCCATAAAAAAAAAAATTTGGACGGGGGCTCACGGAGATTCCGACGTTCGACCACTAGGTTGGCACAAAGGCCAGTCACAAGCACATGCTCACATGGCAACCTTGATGGCAACGGCAGCTGCGACTGCAGCTCTCAGAAGCGCAGGAGGTCCACAAGCTCGCAACATGCTTGCTGCTGCTAGCAATAAGGAACAATTTATATCGGCATCAGGACCGACAGCGAGTTCACCAACTTTACCACCTGCGTATGTAGGTGCTCCACGTAGATCCCGCAAATTGGAACAGGTGGATTTATTTAAGTAAGTTTAAGAACACACAGTTGTAGAAAATTTGTAAATATATCATTTGTAGCGCCTGTTCACAAAAGCTGTTGTTGTGGCAGCAAGAGCATAAAAAAGCAGAACCGTCAAATACGCGCCTGATGGGCGGAACTAGTGCCAAGCTAGAGAATTCGCAGATCCTTATGCGCAGTTGCAAGCCAAAAAAAACCATCAGAACATCCGGCGGTAATACTGTTGTCCATGTCAATGCAGCTGGAGTAACTGGTAAGAGCAAACGCAAGTCCAGTATGATCAAGCTTGCTGAGACGACAAGATTTTCGCGAACGCATACCAGTACTGGAGGATCTGCCAACAGCGATTCACAGCAACATTATCATATGACTCAGAAGCAAAGGCTAATTTTGAAAACTCAACCAGACAGTGGTTATGAACGCACACAGAACGACTCTATCAGTGGTATGCAACACACTGGTGGACGCACTACTAGCAAGTTTAAGACTAGTGGTTTAGTCGTAACAGCCGTCCAACAGTCGGGGGGTACTCATGCAGGAGGTGTTAGTGTTTCAAGACGCATACGTCATGCTGGTGGACAGGTCGCAAAGAATGGCAGCAACAGTGTCGCCCCTGATGCTCACAACATACATCAATACCGCGCCGTTAACACATTGCAAGAGGATAAATCAGTAGCAGGGATTTCCCTAGACACAGTCAACCTTGTACGCAAGGTTAAAACAAAGTTGAGAAAGCGCAAGTCCCGCACGTTCGAAAATGCTGCCGCTACATTGGCTAAATAAAAGCTAACTCGGGCTAAGTCGAAACACTAATATTCCCGGACATTCCTCGACTAATTAATCAACACCTTTTTCTTAACAAACTCTTTCATGTATTTGTATGTGAATTTATTTTTAAACCAAATTTTAGTCAACGAATGAATTAGTTATAGAGATAATGCGCCACAATAGCATTAGCAATTAGGACCGATTTCCAAAATGTGAGCACATTGATGTAGCAAAATTTATGGGGTATTATATTATTATAGTACTCCAAAGTGTAGGATTTGCGTATTATGTCCTATATATAGCACCAACAATCAGGAATTTGAGTTTTGGGCATTTCTATAAAAATTTGCAATAAAAATTAATGTTTTGAATTAACTGCTTATATTGTTGGTACCAAATGCTAAATTTTGCTTCAAATTTGATAAATTCTTTTAATATGGCATATAACGAATCTTTATTGGCAGCGAATCCATAAAACTGATATACATTATTAGTGATAACGCTTTATAACATGCAAGCAAACGGATATGGAATAATAATTTGGAAAAAATGTACAAACCTTAAGTTATTTCCACAGCGGCTTACACTAGAATCTTGTTTCAACGCTGCAAAAATTCAACATACGTGAATAATGTAAAAAATATTGCAAAAGTAAACAAAACGAAGAAATATGACCTCTAAGGACGGCAGCAGGCCTAAATTGTACCGCATAGTGATGTTCAATTATAGCGATATATCGATATATGAGACTTTGAAGAATAAAAAATAAATAAAATAAAATAAAGGACTTCTGGTGTATATTAAAAATATAGACAAATAAGTTATCATAGACCAATGTTTTGCATTTATTCATTAATATATGTAGCAAACAATATGTTCAATGAACAATACACACTTTTTGCTGTGTTCAAAGTAAAATGTGCTGATTTGGCTTTAACAAATGGAAAGTGAATGACGCATTAATAAAATAGATATAGAATTCGTATTCCTGTTTTTGTATTTATTCTACTTTTTGTGGTTTTAATAAATGCATTGAATAAGGGGAGACTTAAAAATATAATATAAAACCGATCTATAGTATACAGATCGTTAAAATCAAATAGCAAAAAAGCAGTATTTATGTTTATAACCATGAGTGGAAACTACAGTTGCCAATATAACTAATGTAATAGGTATACTTATCACATAACAAGAAAATGCAATTGACGCCGATTGAGCTGGCCACTCCATCAGCATAAAATCTTAGTTTCGTAACCATTCACGGACAATTTTGGCAGTGTGCTTCGGATCCCCATCTTGTTGAAAAATGATTTCCTTTACGGGGTATGCACACTTGTCCAAAAAATTGGGTAGACAGGTTTTCAAAATATTGAGATAGTCTTCTTTTAACATTATACCATCAATTTTATGCAATGGTACAATGTGCCACCAAGTAAATCATCCCCAAAACTTTGACATTGCCTCCTCCATGCTTAACGGTTTGCTTCACTTGGTGTTTTTGAAGCTTGTCCCCGGGCCTGTGCCAATAATATTGCTTGCCATCTGATTGAAAACGGTTGAACTTGGATTCATCCGACCAGATAACACGTTTCCAATCATCTACAGTCCAGTTCTTGTGTTCCCGGGCGAATTTCAATCGAGCCTTGACATTCTTCTCGGATAGAGCTGGTTTATTTTTTTTCACACTTGCCACATATCCAACTTTAGCTAGTGCTCTTCTAGCCACCCGCCGATTCACGTCTTTTCCTATGTCCATAGATGCCATCTTCGGTGTTAGGAACTTATCAGTTCTCATTTTCGACAACATTAGTCTGGCGTCAGAGACCTTCAAGAGTCGTTTGCGGCCTTTAATAGTGTTTTTGGATGCACCATTGCGTCTTTTCTGGACTTCGGACACCGCTGAATGAAAAATATTAAGTACTACGAGTCGAACAGCCACTTTCAGTTAGGCTAATAATACTATTTTCGACATCTGACGAACGCTTCTTCATTTTTTCGTGGTACTTTGTATACTAATTGCTAAAATTGACAAATTTACTTCAAATAATAAGAAACACGTGGATTTCTGGATCATAAAAGTGTAGAATGCAAAAATAAAACATATAAGGGTAAAACTGCACGTCTATTGCCGATAAGAGAATTAAAAAATCAAACCAAAGTACGAATATCGGAAGGTGTTTCAGTTTTCTTTGTTTGAATATTTTACTGATTAAGTTTTGTTTTTGTTATATACGGCAATTAGTTAAGAATTAAATATTATTGGAAAAAAAAGTTTTTTTTGATTTGCTTCATTCGTTTGGAAATTATTGACTCACAAAGTTGAAAGTGTCAACTATGGAAACACTTTTGCTCCCTACTGTATGTATATACATATATTTTTATTAAATGCCACCAATTTTGCTATACTTTCATGTGCTCATCAGTGTTTGGTTTGAACTACACTGTTGTCCAAATATTAATTTCTCCGTATTTTCATTTCATGTTGTGCGTAACTAGTGACTAGCATTGCGTTTGGTTGTCGGCTAGCAAAATGTTTTTATACCCTGACCCCTTTGAAAATGGGAAATCAGGGTTTTACTCAGACGAATGTAACAGGCACAGTTATTTGTATTTACATTTTTTGGACTTTCGAGCCGGAACCACAAGGCTTCGTTTGTGATGTGTCCACACATTTTTTGGTGACAAGTGTGAAAGTGAAGTGAAAAATTGTTTAAATACTTTTTTGGCTTACCAATTCAAGCTATGAGTAGAGGCAGAGCACGATCAACCAGGCGATCAAAACAAAAACACCTCCAACGGGTCAAGCCAAAGGGTAAATTAAGTTCAAATTTTCACACGGAAAAAAAACACAATCAAAATGCTGTCGGCAAAAACTCTGGAGTTGCTCAAAAAGCAATCAGAGATCTATGACAAGATCCGGCAGAGCATCACGAACAAGGATGCGTTACCAGCCATTGATAGATTGGCAGCAGAGTTTACTGCCAATCATCTAATTCTGGTCAAAATCGGTGTCATCGATCATCAATATTTTAAGGAGAAAATATATGATTACGAAATGGAAAACATCAGGAACTACGAGGAGTTTCTGATGAAAGTCGAAGTTGCCGACCACGCCATAGACACCGACGAAACAGCATCCATCCAACCAAAGACATCCAAGGCACAACACAGGCAGCAGGAAATAATATTTTCCCAAAGAAGCTCGAGCCCAATGGATGTGCTGGTTGACCTTGTGGACAAACGAGCTATAACAGTAAGGCAACACATGCAAGAAGTGTATGCCAATCTATAGCTCAGCAGCCAGGAAGAAATCCTTGACTATAAAGACAAGTTGATTTTCCTGTAGAACAAAGTCCAGTCAACGCTCACGGATTTAGAGGCAAAATACGAAAAATTTGCCTTCGACATCGATGAGCTGGAATGCAATGTCAGCATACTCACAAAAAAACTAAACAGAAGAGTAGCTGGCTTGCAAAATACACAAGAAGACGTTCCAGAGCTACTGAAAGTGGATCTTCCTCACTTCAATGGAAGTCCCAAAGAGTGGCCGACGTTCTTCGAGTTATTCTCTGAGGTGATTCCCAACAGGAGAGATATCAGCGACACAAGGAAGCTGAATTACCTGAAGTCTTGCCTTAAGGGAGAAGCCAAAATGGTCGTAGGCCATTTATTAATTGACTCGTCTGCTAACTACAACTCGGCTTGGGAACTAATATGCAAGCGCTACGAAAATACGCGCAAAATATTTGCTAACGCCGTCAACCAGCTAGTGGACATGGAACTGCTGAAGAACAATGATGAAGGCAGTATCCGCAAGTTCTTGGACACAGCAACAGAATGCATTTTCATTATCAAAGAAAAGGGTCAATTTGGTAATGAAGTTGACGCTCTAATCGCTCAAATTCTGTTGCGACGATTCTCTGCGGAAGTCCTACAACTTTACGAGCAACACGTAAAAAAGGCCAGAGAAATTCAGTCGTTGGACGATATACTAGAGTTTATTGAGCAACTGTATAACTCAATAGACTCAGTGCAAAAAAGCGCCGCCCATGCGTCAAGGGAAGCAAAGACAACGAGCCACGATAGATGCCGTTTTTGCCAATTGACTGGACATGAAATAACCAGGTGTCAGAAATTTAGAGCTGAGCCGGTTAAAAAACGCAAGGAGTTTGTGTTCAAAAACTCGCTTTGCTACAAATGTCTAGGCAGCCACAGCGTTAAAGATTGCAGAAAGAATTGGACTTGCAATCAAAGCACACAACAATTTGTTTCACGAGGAAGCAAATAAAAATGAGACCGTCAGCAGCAACTGTCTAAATGAATATAAAGGACAAGATACGTTGCTGGCGACAGCGCTCATCCAGATTAAAAATAAGTCTGGAAAATACGAGCAGCTAAGGGCCCTTACAGATGGAGGCACGCAAAAACCCCTAATATCTGAAGAAGCTGCACAACAGTTAAAACTGCGCCGAACTAAACGGAACGTGGAAGTTCAAGGAATTTCGCAAAATATAGAAATTCTTAAAAATAGTGTTTGCTTAACAATCAAACCCCGGTTTAAAAGCAAATTCATCACCACTACGCAGGCACTTGTTATGCCAAAACTTCAGAGAGCTCTTCCGACCAAGAAAATTGAAATGGATGTCAATAAGGATTGGAATGGCTGCGCGCTAGCAGACCCACATTTTAACGAGCCTAGTCGAATTGACGTTGTCATTGGCGTTGATTTACTTCCCTTAATAATGTTGGGAAAAGTAAAGAAAATCAACAAAACTCTGGGACAAAAGACCGATCTTGGATGGATTATCTCTGGCAATATATCTGGATTATCAACCCACAAGTTAATCAGCGCATCAACAACGATGTGCCTGGATGTCATAGAAAACTCTGGGAAGCATCGAAAAAATTGGGTTGCTATACAGACGGAGACGCAGGCCACGGATTAAGAGAAACCAGAGGCAGCAATTGCTAGCTGTCACATTTGGCCCCCCGCAGAATGTTCAGGCATGAACATACTGTATTATATTTAATGACATATCAATAATACCCGAAGCAATGTAGAGTATTCTGCATATAGATGCGTCATATGCCTAACATATGATAGTGTATACTAAATACGCATATAGTGACATTTGTCCCTACGCATAAACATAGAGCGAGCGCTAAGATAAACAATGGGAATATGATCAGCCACTTAAGTGCGGTCTGACCAGCAGCGTGGGAGATGCCGCGTACGCACTTTGCCTAAGGTCTATGCCACTTGCCTAATGTTTATGCCATATGCATATAAGTATATACAAGCTTTATATATGAAGCTACACAACGGGAGAGCATTGTATGTCTCCCGCTTGGAGGTCCACTCATTACATAATGTACTTAGGCTAAGAGATGAAATACGCATGAGCCAGGGTATAAGAACTCTTGCTCAGACGAATAAAGATTATTACACAATTGAACACCACCAGTTATTTGTATTCATAGCTACTTTAGTTTAATTTTGCAACGTTTAGCTCAAACAATAAACTGGCGGTGTTGGTAGACTCTGTACGCGTTTTCGAGGGCTTTTTCTTAAATATGAAGTGTCGATGTTTGTTAAGTTCTTTAGCATTGCATAGATGTTGTTCGAGGTCTGGTTTCCTAATTGTTAGTTTTTCTTTTTTTTTATGTTATGGTAAATATTAAAAACGGAGATAGGGCGGAGTTCAGGGTATCTTAAGTCGGGCACCTCCGACTAAAGCTCAATTGTTTATACATATATGAATTCAATTTAGATTCAGAATCGGCCTTATGGAAGCTTCAAAAATATATTTATACAAATTATGGCTTAGTCTTGACAATTTAAAGTGGAGGTTTATCTGGGGTTTCAACAAGATTAATATGTTTCTGGTATTATATTTAAAGTCTACATTTTGCTCTGATAAAAATATATGAGAACATATAAGGGTTCATCCAACTGTATGTATATAAATTACTCGAAACAGTCTTATAGAGAGTTAAAATAAAACCAGTAAGAAAGCTCTAGTCGGGGTGCCCAACTAGGAGATACTCTGATCTCAGTCCTATTTGCGCTTATTAATATTTTCCGAAGTTTGTATCGAGTATTCAAACAAAAAAAGGAAGACATTTGTATCGATCGATATTAAAAAAAAAAGGAAACAAATAAAAAACGACATTACGATACCAGGATTCAAACCCGGATTGTTTGCGCACCGTGCACCAACTCTACCAACACGCAACTTCATAAAAAAAAACAATAAATAATATTTCGTCTCCGTTGGTCTCGAACCCTGCTGCATACGGACGACGTCTCTACCAACGTAGCCACTGCACCTCTTGCAAGAAGAGTTGCAAATTTGAAGTTGAGTAGCAACTGATAATTCATGCAGAATTCAATCGCAATTTCGATTCTTGGAATAGAAAAGAATTCACGCATTTGAATGTATGTGTGCACACGCATAGAAAAAATGCGTGCGCGTGGCGCTGCTGACATGTGCTTTTGCAAATTGGCCAAACGTTGTGTTTAATAACTTCTGTTTCACTTAATGGATTTTAATGAAATTTTCAGCATATGATCTACATATTCTATTGGTTAAGATGCAACGCCGTCACATAATGGCCCTAGTTCCAACTAAACTTAAATTTTAAGAATTTAGGGAAATTTGGAGCCGGTATCCAAAATCCAACAAAAATCAAAATTGCATAAAATATACATAAAACTAAATACAAAATTTGGAGGCTCTAGCTCTTAAGACGTCCGAGATATAATTTATTAACTGCATTTCAATTATGTTTTTATTCGATAACAATTCAATGCAAATAGTTATCGAATATTTGAAACAAACTTAACCTGCGCATGCTATACGCGGACCAACAAAAAATTTCAATTCTCTAGCTCTTATAGATGCTGAGATCCACGCGTTAACACATACGGGCAGACAGACGGACAGGGCTCAATCGACTCGGCTTGTCATCCTGATCAAGAATATATATACTTTATGGGGTCTGCCACGCCTCCTTCTGCCTGATTTCCCATTTTCAATGGGATCAGGGTATAAAAAAACTGAATTTCATGCTGCTGGAATATGGGAAACCTAGTGAAGGCCGCGAGTTAAGTTATGATATAGTAAATATTAGAAAATAAATAATTTGGAATTATTATTATTATTATTATTATTATACATTATTGACTTTGTTAATTACTAGTACATATGCTTATATTATTATAATAAAAAGGGTTGACTTGTCAGTTATAAATATGTATGTATCTGTAAAATTTGATTCATAATCCAATTTAAATAATTTAATTTTATATATTATTTATATATATATATATATATATAAAAACATAGAAATTAATCTGCTTAAATTAATATATTAGAAAACGTTTCTTTACACTACTCTCCTTTATTAATAAAAAGTGTGTTATTATATTTTTAGCATTTTTGTGCTTAAACGTTGACTGCATTCTGAAGTACACTTTTATCATCTAAAATAATGTTAGCAGCTGTTGTGGCTGTATTAGAGCTCAGCAACTGTTTAGTCGATGAACTGGATGAGTAGCTGTCACTAGAGCTGCGCGTAGAGGCCGAATTGCCGCTTACCGGACTGTCCAGCATATCTGCAAATTTATATTGTTTTATAGACGTATTGTTGACATATTTGGCACGCTTACCGGGAAGTGAGCTAACATTATTGCTCTTTAAGTCCACTCCGCAAATAGAAGGAGCTACAACACTAGGACCAACAATATTACCCGCTGACGTTGATTTTTTTTTTAGATTTTGATTCCTTTTTACCATTGTGTTAAAACCCACCCCAGCAGCATTAAGTACATTTATGTCGCAATTACCATGATTCATAGTAGCGCAGCTGCAACACAAAGAATCCCCGCTCTTTACTAGCTCTGAAGAATACAACGGACTAAGTATGTTGTTTTGAATGTCATCAGGTGTATAGTAATCGGAATCCTCGGCGCTTAAATTGGTTGTTAATAGGCCTGGGTCAATCGGTGCCGCATTAGACTCGGCATGATCCGACCCATGTATATTGCGCTTTAATGAGTCACTCTTACTTGAGTTAGATTCGTGTAATACATTATTCCCATCATCAATACTAACTCTAACTGCTATATCATTAACGTGTTTGTTTGTTGCTATATCTTCGTCATCACTATTATTGAGAATATCCACAACTGGCTTACTTGATTTATTTGAAGTATTTTTGCTATGTGTCCCTGGCGACAGCAACGGTGACAACTTCTCACTCTCGCTATCCTCATCATCGTCCTGAATGGTACCACTGTTTTTTTGGTAATTAAGAACTTTGCGCTCGTCGATGATATGCATATCTTGCTTCTCAGGAGATGAACAAAGTGATGTTTTGGAAGAGGTGCAGGTAGCCAATGACTTTTTCGAATTGCTTTCTATTTCCATTACCGTAAGTATGGAACTATCTCCAGTAGCGTTAGTAATTGTGCCCACTTCATTGGTGGTGGTGCACGTAGAAGCATTTTTCTTGCTCTTTAGTCGGCGTTGGCTTCCCGATTTTATCGGCGAAGTGGCTTTTATGTCACCACTTGTCATGTTTAAAGCGGCCATTGAAATACTGTCCGTAATGTCATGCTCACTTTTTCTATAGAAATATTTAAAATATTGACGTAGTTTAGTCGTAAATTCAATAGTTTTAAAAGAATATATATATATATATATATATAAACAGAACTTACCCCATTCATGAAGAATGACAATTCAGAGCAAAGTAGTTTTGTTAATATATATGTAACAACCAGAAGTAAATTAACCCCATAAGATATATGTATTCATGATCACAATGAACATCGTAGTCTATTTAGTCGGAAGCTATAAAAGCTAATTACTTAGAATATATCAAGCGATGCTCAAGTTTCTTTCAAATAATTGATTTACGATCTTAAACATGACTCTCATTTCATTAGAACTAGAGTGTGTTATATCCAATGTGGATTTATTTCATATAGTAGATACCGATCCCAATTTTACAAAATCATTTAAAACAAGTAAGAAAGCTTTAGTCGGGAGAGATACCATGAACCCTTGGCGATCTCCATAGTTATTAGACTATTACTGTATAGCTAGTATCAGTAAAGTCAAATTAACATAACCAACTATTTTTCTGCTAACAACAAAGAAACTGAAGAGGCAACGGTTAGCACAGCTTAGGAACCAGGCGTTCAATGATACTTAATATGCTTTCTGGCACACGGCAAATGATCGGCGTTTGAAGGCCACGATGAGATTATAGCAAGCTACCATAACCATAGTTTGGGTTAATGTGTCCAACACCACTCATCGGTGTTGTAAAAGATATTCCTGCCGGATATAATAGCATTTTATCAATAAACTTTTATTATGACCAACATACAGTATTTTTAATTGGTGTCCAATATAGTAAAGTACAAAGTTCATTTTAATAAATCAAACCTTAAACGAAATTCTGGCTCCAAAGAGTTAATATTTATAAATAACGTCGCAAATAAAGCAAAAAAAAAACTAAGAATGGGAACGCCACATCTCTTACGGCAACAGCGTTGTCGAATTGAACGCCACAATGCTTGAATCACCATCAACTACAGCAACGTCATCACATACCAGCTGCATTAATGAATCCGCCGCGTCGACGCTTCTGTGACTTCGTCAACAAGAAGAGCAATATTATCAGTGTTAATAGCACTAGCGATACCGACTCCTACTTTAAAGTATCCGATCCTATAACTTTACTTCATTCCACTATCGTAGCAATGTCGCTGCGACCGTGGTGATCTTATTTAATATAATGAACCCAGGCTTTAGCAAAATTATAGCGAATTGGTTACAGCAGGAGTCAAGAAGTGATCTCTAATATGGAGACCGCTATTGCGACCCTAAGACAACTTAACATGAATGGAATTCGATAAAAAGTTAAATGCTCTCACGAACGAAAGAACATCATCATTTAAAGCGATTATCGCCCGATTGTATTTCAGTTATGCCGACAAAACACCCATACAGGTGATAAAACCGGAACAAAATTTCCTAAGGCCGGGAGATCTTTCTCCTTTGAAAATCGCATTGTTTTTAGCGCAACCTCGTGATCTACTATCGGCACTAGCTCTGAAAGCACCCAAAATGCAGAAATAACGTAATAACTTTCAATAAAATAATCAAATAGAAAATCAATATTAAGGGGGCCATCGGACAGGTCCTCATTACACTGAAACTCCAGCGTCTAATCAAAAGTAGGCAAATTTAAGAATATATAATCCTTAAATAAATCCATGTAAGTCGAGTTATCTTCTTACGTCAGACATCCGACCACAACCCAACAGAATAATAGGTCCTACAATTTCGGAAACTGTTCCAAAACAACTCACAACCAGCAAAGCAAATCAAAAAAATGTTTACAAACACTTTAAGCGATTCAACAAAGATTCAAAGCATTCACGGATAATAGTGAAGTTCAGCCGAACAAAATCAAATATCATCGCCACTTTTGTTAACGGAGTTTAACAGCCTCGGACAACATTATTCGATCTTAAATTAACCCTACACTAACCCGACATGGGATAAAAAAAGGAACGGACGAAAATGGTCTTCTAAAAAGAGACTAGTGATTGATTTTAGCAAAGTTAACACAAAACACCATCGATCTTCACAATATCAACTGTTTTGTTTAAATAATAATAAAAATATTTTGTTCAACATCGGAATTGAAGTCAGGCTTTCATCAGATAGAACCAGCTGGGAAAGATTAGTGGAAAACAGTGTTTTCCGTCGTTTTGTCCTCAGGGACATGATGTCCTCAGGGACATGATGTCCTCAGGGACATGATTATCAAAACACGCTGGTTGAGATAGATATTATGATAATCTTTTCTAAAACATAAGAAGATCACATTACACAGATTGGATCCCGAAGAGATGTAGGCAAGTTTAAATTTCCCAAGCGCATTTTATACTTTTTGGGCCAAGATTATTCCTTATCATTGTTTTAATGACTACGCTGAAATCGGCTTGCCCCTTGCGGACATTTTGAAATGCGACAATGGATAACTCGGCAAGAACCACTCAAGCAATTTGGCAGTAATTTTTAGCCAGTGCCAGTCAATTACAAATTGAAATAACCTAAATATTGGATTACTACTAGTTCCTGTGATTTCCCACACGCTGCATGACGAAGAGCTACTAACGAGACAGAACTTCTCGTAATTGAGTGGTATTAAAAAAAATTCCGAAATTTTCTTTTTGGTGTAGTAACTTTAATATTTTCACTGACCATTAGCCGATAACTTTTCCTGTTTCGAATAGTTATATAAAACGCTGGAAAGCACATATACAAAACAAACCCGTTAATTGCTTTCAAAACAAGATCAGCCTGACAAAATTAAGAAAGCTCTAGTGATCACGGTTCCTTGACATTTCTGCGTTTAATATTGCGTATTGTATCGAGTATTAAAAATAAATAAAAAAAATTAAAAAACCAACATTTGTAATAATTTCATTTCGATCATGTTTTTAATCGATAGCAATACGGAAATAGTTGATATACGCGTGCTATACACGGACCTACAAAATAAATGTGAATTCTCTAGCTTAGAACAACGCACACACATACCGACAGACGATTTTCGCATGGGATGAGAGTATAAAAAGAGGGCCCCTTCAACGGAAACTTTCACCGCATTCGAATAAAAGCCAAGACACATTCATAATTAATCTAGCCGAAAAACAATTCAGGATATCTTAACAGACTTAGTGAAACATGTAATATACAACGGCATTGCCAATTCCTTTATGTAGATGTCAAAGATCATACTGAATAAAAAGATATCACAACAGAGCAAAATCGGGCTCATCATGCAGAGAAATGTCAAAGGAGTTCTGAGGGATTTTTTCTTCCAGAATGATTTGGTTGGTCACAAAAATAGCAGTAAGTTTCAAAACTTTTATTTTAGTAGTCTAGTAAATCAAATATTTAGTATTGAGTATACTTCAAATTGAACTTGTATTTTAACTTGCATCTACGAGTTCTCAAAATTTGGCAGAGTGCAAGAACTAAAATCACGAGGAGTAATAATAGACAACAACTGTCTAAATGAATATAAAGGACAAGATACGTTGCTGGCGACAGCGCTCATCCAGATTAAAAATAAGTCTGGAAAATACGAGCAGTTAAGGGCCCTTACAGATGGAGGCACGCAAAAACCCCTAATATCTGAAGAAGCTGCACAACAGTAAAAACTGCGCCGAACTAAACGGAACGTGGAAGTTCAAGGAATTTCGCAAAATATAGAAATTCTTAAAAATAGTGTTTGCTTAACAATCAAACCCCGGTTTAAAAGCAAATTCATCACCACTACGCAGGCACTTGTTATGCCAAAACTTCAGAGAGCTCTTCCGACCAAGAAAATTGAAATGGATGTCAATAAGGATTGGAATGGCTGCGCGCTAGCAGACCCACATTTTAACGAGCCCAGTCGAATTGACGTTGTCATTGGCGTTGATTTACTTCCCTTAATAATGTTGGGAAAAGTAAAGAAAATCAACAAAACTCTGGGACAAAAGACCGATCTTGGATGGATTATCTCTGGCAATATATCTGGATTATCAACCCACAAGTTAATCAGCGCATCAACAACGATGTGCCTGGACGTCAAGAAAACTCTGGGTTGCTATACAGACGGAGACGCAGGCCACGGATTAAGAAGAGAAACCAGAGGCAGCAATTGCTAGCTGTCACATTTGGCCCCCCGCAGAATGTTCAGGCATGAACATACTGTATTATATTTAATGACATATCAATAATACCCGAAGCAATGTAGAGTATTCTGCATATAGATGCGTCATATGCCTAACATATGATAGTGTATACTAAATACGCATATAGTGACATTTGTCCCTACGCATAAACATAGAGCGAGCGCTAAGATAAACAATGGGAATATGATCAGCCACTTAAGTGCGGTCTGACCAGCAGCGTGGGAGATGCCGCGTACGCACTTTGCCTAAGGTCTATGCCACTTGCCTAATGTTTATGCCATATGCATATAAGTATATACAAGCTTTATATATGAAGCTACACAACGGGAGAGCATTGTATGTCTCCCGCTTGGAGGTCCACTCATTACATAATGTACTTAGGCTAAGAGATGAAATACGCATGAGCCAGGGTATAAGAACTCTTGCTCAGACGAATAAAGATTATTACACAATTGAACACCACCAGTTATTTGTATTCATAGCTACTTTAGTTTAATTTTGCAACGTTTAGCTCAAACAATAAACTGGCGGTGTTGGTAGACTCTGTACGCGTTTTCGAGGGCTTTTTCTTAAATATGAAGTGTCGATGTTTGTTAAGTTCTTTAGCATTGCATAGATGTTGTTCGAGGTCTGGTTTCCTAATTGTTAGTTTTTCTTTTTTTTTATGTTATGGTAAATATTAAAAACGGAGATAGGGCGGAGTTCAGGGTATCTTAAGTCGGGCACCTCCGACTAAAGCTCAATTGTTTATACATATATGAATTCAATTTAGATTCAGAATCGGCCTTATGGAAGCTTCAAAAATATATTTATACAAATTATGGCTTAGTCTTGACAATTTAAAGTGGAGGTTTATCTGGGGTTTCAACAAGATTAATATGTTTCTGGTATTATATTTAAAGTCTACATTTTGCTCTGATAAAAATATATGAGAACATATAAGGGTTCATCCAACTGTATGTATATAAATTACTCGAAACAGTCTTATAGAGAGTTAAAATAAAACCAGTAAGAAAGCTCTAGTCGGGGTGCCCAACTAGGAGATACTCTGATCTCAGTCCTATTTGCGCTTATTAATATTTTCCGAAGTTTGTATCGAGTATTCAAACAAAAAAAGGAAGACATTTGTATCGATCGATATTAAAAAAAAAAGGAAACAAATAAAAAACGACATTACGATACCAGGATTCAAACCCGGATTGTTTGCGCACCGTGCACCAACTCTACCAACACGCAACTTCATAATTAAAAAAAAAAACAATAAATAATATTTCGTCTCCGTTGGTCTCGAACCCTGCTGCATACGGACGACGTCTCTACCAACGTAGCCACTGCACCTCTTGCAAGAAGAGTTGCAAATTTGAAGTTGAGTAGCAACTGATAATTCATGCAGAATTCAATCGCAATTTCGATTCTTGGAATAGAAAAGAATTCACGCATTTGAATGTATGTGTGCACACGCATAGAAAAAATGCGTGCGCGTGGCGCTGCTGACATGTGCTTTTGCAAATTGGCCAAACGTTGTGTTTAATAACTTCTGTTTCACTTAATGGATTTTAATGAAATTTTCAGCATATGATCTACATATTCTATTGGTTAAGATGCAAACGCCGTCACATAATGGCCCTAGTTCCAACTAAACTTAAATTTTAAGAATTTAGGGAAATTTGGAGCCGGTATCCAAAATCCAACAAAAATCAAAATTGCATAAAATATACATAAAACTAAATACAAAATTTGGAGGCTCTAGCTCTTAAGACGTCCGAGATATAATTTATTAACTGCATTTCAATTATGTTTTTATTCGATAACAATTCAATGCAAATAGTTATCGAATATTTGAAACAAACTTAACCTGCGCATGCTATACGCGGACCAACAAAAAATTTCAATTCTCTAGCTCTTATAGATGCTGAGATCCACGCGTTAACACATACGGGCAGACAGACGGACAGGGCTCAATCGACTCGGCTTGTCATCCTGATCAAGAATATATATACTTTATGGGGTCTGCCACGCCTCCTTCTGCCTGATTTCCCATTTTCAATGGGATCAGGGTATAAAAAAACTGAATTTCATGCTGCTGGAATATGGGAAACCTAGTGAAGGCCGCGAGTTAAGTTATGATATAGTAAATATTAGAAAATAAATAATTTGGAATTATTATTATTATTATTATTATTATACATTATTGACTTTGTTAATTACTAGTACATATGCTTATATTATTATAATAAAAAGGGTTGACTTGTCAGTTATAAATATGTATGTATCTGTAAAATTTGATTCATAATCCAATTTAAATAATTTAATTTTATATATTATTTATATATATATATATATATATAAAAACATAGAAATTAATCTGCTTAAATTAATATATTAGAAAACGTTTCTTTACACTACTCTCCTTTATTAATAAAAAGTGTGTTATTATATTTTTAGCATTTTTGTGCTTAAACGTTGACTGCATTCTGAAGTACACTTTTATCATCTAAAATAATGTTAGCAGCTGTTGTGGCTGTATTAGAGCTCAGCAACTGTTTAGTCGATGAACTGGATGAGTAGCTGTCACTAGAGCTGCGCGTAGAGGCCGAATTGCCGCTTACCGGACTGTCCAGCATATCTGCAAATTTATATTGTTTTATAGACGTATTGTTGACATATTTGGCACGCTTACCGGGAAGTGAGCTAACATTATTGCTCTTTAAGTCCACTCCGCAAATAGAAGGAGCTACAACACTAGGACCAACAATATTACCCGCTGACGTTGATTTTTTTTTTAGATTTTGATTCCTTTTTACCATTGTGTTAAAACCCACCCCAGCAGCATTAAGTACATTTATGTCGCAATTACCATGATTCATAGTAGCGCAGCTGCAACACAAAGAATCCCCGCTCTTTACTAGCTCTGAAGAATACAACGGACTAAGTATGTTGTTTTGAATGTCATCAGGTGTATAGTAATCGGAATCCTCGGCGCTTAAATTGGTTGTTAATAGGCCTGGGTCAATCGGTGCCGCATTAGACTCGGCATGATCCGACCCATGTATATTGCGCTTTAATGAGTCACTCTTACTTGAGTTAGATTCGTGTAATACATTATTCCCATCATCAATACTAACTCTAACTGCTATATCATTAACGTGTTTGTTTGTTGCTATATCTTCGTCATCACTATTATTGAGAATATCCACAACTGGCTTACTTGATTTATTTGAAGTATTTTTGCTATGTGTCCCTGGCGACAGCAACGGTGACAACTTCTCACTCTCGCTATCCTCATCATCGTCCTGAATGGTACCACTGTTTTTTTGGTAATTAAGAACTTTGCGCTCGTCGATGATATGCATATCTTGCTTCTCAGGAGATGAACAAAGTGATGTTTTGGAAGAGGTGCAGGTAGCCAATGACTTTTTCGAATTGCTTTCTATTTCCATTACCGTAAGTATGGAACTATCTCCAGTAGCGTTAGTAATTGTGCCCACTTCATTGGTGGTGGTGCACGTAGAAGCATTTTTCTTGCTCTTTAGTCGGCGTTGGCTTCCCGATTTTATCGGCGAAGTGGCTTTTATGTCACCACTTGTCATGTTTAAAGCGGCCATTGAAATACTGTCCGTAATGTCATGCTCACTTTTTCTATAGAAATATTTAAAATATTGACGTAGTTTAGTCGTAAATTCAATAGTTTTAAAAGAATATATATATATATATATATATAAACAGAACTTACCCCATTCATGAAGAATGACAATTCAGAGCAAAGTAGTTTTGTTAATATATATGTAACAACCAGAAGTAAATTAACCCCATAAGATATATGTATTCATGATCACAATGAACATCGTAGTCTATTTAGTCGGAAGCTATAAAAGCTAATTACTTAGAATATATCAAGCGATGCTCAAGTTTCTTTCAAATAATTGATTTACGATCTTAAACATGACTCTCATTTCATTAGAACTAGAGTGTGTTATATCCAATGTGGATTTATTTCATATAGTAGATACCGATCCCAATTTTACAAAATCATTTAAAACAAGTAAGAAAGCTTTAGTCGGGAGAGATACCATGAACCCTTGGCGATCTCCATAGTTATTAGACTATTACTGTATAGCTAGTATCAGTAAAGTCAAATTAACATAACCAACTATTTTTCTGCTAACAACAAAGAAACTGAAGAGGCAACGGTTAGCACAGCTTAGGAACCAGGCGTTCAATGATACTTAATATGCTTTCTGGCACACGGCAAATGATCGGCGTTTGAAGGCCACGATGAGATTATAGCAAGCTACCATAACCATAGTTTGGGTTAATGTGTCCAACACCACTCATCGGTGTTGTAAAAGATATTCCTGCCGGATATAATAGCATTTTATCAATAAACTTTTATTATGACCAACATACAGTATTTTTAATTGGTGTCCAATATAGTAAAGTACAAAGTTCATTTTAATAAATCAAACCTTAAACGAAATTCTGGCTCCAAAGAGTTAATATTTATAAATAACGTCGCAAATAAAGCAAAAAAAAACTAAGAATGGGAACGCCACATCTCTTACGGCAACAGCGTTGTCGAATTGAACGCCACAATGCTTGAATCACCATCAACTACAGCAACGTCATCACATACCAGCTGCATTAATGAATCCGCCGTGTCGACGCTTCTGTGACTTCGTCAACAAGAAGAGCAATATTATCAGTGTTAATAGCACTAGCGATACCGACTCCTACTTTAAAGTATCCGATCCTATAACTTTACTTCATTCCACTATCGTAGCAATGTCGCTGCGACCGTGGTGATCTTATTTAATATAATGAACCCAGGCTTTAGCAAAATTATAGCGAATTGGTTACAGCAGGAGTCAAGAAGTGATCTCTAATATGGAGACCGCTATTGCGACCCTAAGACAACTTAACATGAATGGAATTCGATAAAAAGTTAAATGCTCTCACGAACGAAAGAACATCATCATTTAAAGCGATTATCGCCCGATTGTATTTCAGTTATGCCGACAAAACACCCATACAGGTGATAAAACCGGAACAAAATTTCCTAAGGCCGGGAGATCTTTCTCCTTTGAAAATCGCATTGTTTTTAGCGCAACCTCGTGATCTACTATCGGCACTAGCTCTGAAAGCACCCAAAATGCAGAAATAACGTAATAATTTTCAATAAAATAATCAAATAGAAAATCAATATTAAGGGGGCCATCGGACAGGTCCTCATTACACTGAAACTCCAGCGTCTAATCAAAAGTAGGCAAATTTAAGAATATATAATCCTTAAATAAATCCATGTAAGTCGAGTTATCTTCTTACGTCAGACATCCGACCACAACCCAACAGAATAATAGGTCCTACAATTTCGGAAACTGTTCCAAAACAACTCACAACCAGCAAAGCAAATCAAAAAAATGTTTACAAACACTTTAAGCGATTCAACAAAGATTCAAAGCATTCACGGATAATAGTGAAGTTCAGCCGAACAAAATCAAATATCATCGCCACTTTTGTTAACGGAGTTTAACAGCCTCGGACAACATTATTCGATCTTAAATTAACCCTACACTAACCCGACATGGGATAAAAAAAGGAACGGACGAAAATGGTCTTCTAAAAAGAGACTAGTGATTGATTTTAGCAAAGTTAACACAAAACACCATCGATCTTCACAATATCAACTGTTTTGTTTAAATAATAATAAAAATATTTTGTTCAACATCGGAATTGAAGTCAGGCTTTCATCAGATAGAACCAGCTGGGAAAGATTAGTGGAAAACAGTGTTTTCCGTCGTTTTGTCCTCAGGGACATGATGTCCTCAGGGACATGATGTCCTCAGGGACATGATTATCAAAACACGCTGGTTGAGATAGATATTATGATAATCTTTTCTAAAACATAAGAAGATCACATTACACAGATTGGATCCCGAAGAGATGTAGGCAAGTTTAAATTTCCCAAGCGCATTTTATACTTTTTGGGCCAAGATTATTCCTTATCATTGTTTTAATGACTACGCTGAAATCGGCTTGCCCCTTGCGGACATTTTGAAATGCGACAATGGATAACTCGGCAAGAACCACTCAAGCAATTTGGCAGTAATTTTTAGCCAGTGCCAGTCAATTACAAATTGAAATAACCTAAATATTGGATTACTACTAGTTCCTGTGATTTCCCACACGCTGCATGACGAAGAGCTACTAACGAGACAGAACTTCTCGTAATTGAGTGGTATTAAAAAAAATTCCGAAATTTTCTTTTTGGTGTAGTAACTTTAATATTTTCACTGACCATTAGCCGATAACTTTTCCTGTTTCGAATAGTTATATAAAACGCTGGAAAGCACATATACAAAACAAACCCGTTAATTGCTTTCAAAACAAGATCAGCCTGACAAAATTAAGAAAGCTCTAGTGATCACGGTTCCTTGACATTTCTGCGTTTAATATTGCGTATTGTATCGAGTATTAAAAATAAATAAAAAAAATTAAAAAACCAACATTTGTAATAATTTCATTTCGATCATGTTTTTAATCGATAGCAATACGGAAATAGTTGATATACGCGTGCTATACACGGACCTACAAAATAAATGTGAATTCTCTAGCTTAGAACAACGCACACACATACCGACAGACGATTTTCGCATGGGATGAGAGTATAAAAAGAGGGCCCCTTCAACGGAAACTTTCACCGCATTCGAATAAAAGCCAAGACACATTCATAATTAATCTAGCCGAAAAACAATTCAGGATATCTTAACAGACTTAGTGAAACATGTAATATACAACGGCATTGCCAATTCCTTTATGTAGATGTCAAAGATCATACTGAATAAAAAGATATCACAACAGAGCAAAATCGGGCTCATCATGCAGAGAAATGTCAAAGGAGTTCTGAGGGATTTTTTCTTCCAGAATGATTTGGTTGGTCACAAAAATAGCAGTAAGTTTCAAAACTTTTATTTTAGTAGTCTAGTAAATCAAATATTTAGTATTGAGTATACTTCAAATTGAACTTGTATTTTAACTTGCATCTACAAGTTCTCAAAATTTGGCAGAGTGCAAGAACTAAAATCACGAGGAGTAATAATAGACAACGAGGAACCGTCCCTATAAGAAATTATACGCTGCCTCAAAATAATAACTCGAAGAAACAGTTGTGCCAATTGTTTTTGTCAACAATTAAGTATGATATGAGAATTCACGATTTAAACAAGACCCTCATCAAAATAATTCACCTCTCTATTCGACTCGAGAGAAACTTCGTAACTCGAGAAGAAACTTAAGATCAGGCAAAAGCTACCAAATTGGCAAAAAGGTATGGCAAAGTATAATAATCGGCTAGATAATGTCTTTATATAACATATTTAAAGGCATTGTCAAAAATTAACGAAACTCGATAATGGTTCTAGTCGAATATTTATAGATTATTTGCAACAAACTTTATAATCGCGTTTTATGTAGATGCCCACAAAAAATTCGAGTCTCTAGCTCACATAGGTCCAAAGGTCATACATACGGACAGGGCTAAATCTCAGCTAGACGCTTTATGGAGTCTATTGTATATACACTTGCCAGAAAAACTATGCGTACAGGCCTAATGAGCGACTTTGATAGAGAATAAATATGATAAATAATAGTATATTTATCAATATTATATTTTTAATGGAAAACAACACACATTTATCAACAATTTTTTTTATAATATTAAACAGTTTTTTTTTTATATTTAAAATAAGAAAAAAACAACGAAAATTCACTTAGAAAAAGTATGCGTACAAACTAACAACCCACTGATCTTAATCGTTGTGTGAAGCTTTTAGTACCGTTAAACAGCATATTACGCTATTGCGACCCTAAGACAACTTAACATGAATGGAATTCGATAAAAAGTTAAATGCTCTCACGAACGAAAGAACATCATCATTTAAAGCGATTATCGCCCGATTGTATTTCAGTTATGCCGACAAAACACCCATACAGGTGATAAAACCGGAACAAAATTTCCTAAGGCCGGGAGATCTTTCTCCTTTGAAAATCGCATTGTTTTTAGCGCAACCTCGTGATCTACTATCGGCACTAGCTCTGAAAGCACCCAAAATGCAGAAATAACGTAATAATTTTCAATAAAATAATCAAATAGAAAATCAATATTAAGGGGGCCATCGGACAGGTCCTCATTACACTGAAACTCCAGCGTCTAATCAAAAGTAGGCAAATTTAAGAATATATAATCCTTAAATAAATCCATGTAAGTCGAGTTATCTTCTTACGTCAGACATCCGACCACAACCCAACAGAATAATAGGTCCTACAATTTCGGAAACTGTTCCAAAACAACTCACAACCAGCAAAGCAAATCAAAAAAATGTTTACAAACACTTTAAGCGATTCAACAAAGATTCAAAGCATTCACGGATAATAGTGAAGTTCAGCCGAACAAAATCAAATATCATCGCCACTTTTGTTAACGGAGTTTAACAGCCTCGGACAACATTATTCGATCTTAAATTAACCCTACACTAACCCGACATGGGATAAAAAAAGGAACGGACGAAAATGGTCTTCTAAAAAGAGACTAGTGATTGATTTTAGCAAAGTTAACACAAAACACCATCGATCTTCACAATATCAACTGTTTTGTTTAAATAATAATAAAAATATTTTGTTCAACATCGGAATTGAAGTCAGGCTTTCATCAGATAGAACCAGCTGGGAAAGATTAGTGGAAAACAGTGTTTTCCGTCGTTTTGTCCTCAGGGACATGATGTCCTCAGGGACATGATTATCAAAACACGCTGGTTGAGATAGATATTATGATAATCTTTTCTAAAACATAAGAAGATCACATTACACAGATTGGATCCCGAAGAGATGTAGGCAAGTTTAAATTTCCCAAGCGCATTTTATACTTTTTGGGCCAAGATTATTCCTTATCATTGTTTTAATGACTACGCTGAAATCGGCTTGCCCCTTGCGGACATTTTAAAATGCGACAATGGATAACTCGGCAAGAACCACTCAAGCAATTTGGCAGTAATTTTTAGCCAGTGCCAGTCAATTACAAATTGAAATAACCTAAATATTGGAAAAACAATTCAGGATATCTTAACAGACTTAGTGAAACATGTAATATACAACGGCATTGCCAATTCCTTTATGTAGATGTCAAAGATCATACTGAATAAAAAGATATCACAACAGAGCAAAATCGGGCTCATCATGCAGAGAAATGTCAAAGGAGTTCTGAGGGATTTTTTCTTCCAGAATGATTTGGTTGGTCACAAAAATAGCAGTAAGTTTCAAAACTTTTATTTTAGTAGTCTAGTAAATCAAATATTTAGTATTGAGTATACTTCAAATTGAACTTGTATTTTAACTTGCATCTACAAGTTCTCAAAATTTGGCAGAGTGCAAGAACTAAAATCACGAGGAGTAATAATAGACAACGAGGAACCGTCCCTATAAGAAATTATACGCTGCCTCAAAATAATAACTCGAAGAAACAGTTGTGCCAATTGTTTTTGTCAACAATTAAGTATGATATGAGAATTCACGATTTAAACAAGACCCTCATCAAAATAATTCACCTCTCTATTCAACTCGAGAGAAACTTCGTAACTCGAGAAGAAACTTAAGATCAGGCAAAAGCTACCAAATTGGCGAAAAGGTATGGCAAAGTATAATAATCGGCTAGATAATGTCTTTATATAACATATTTAAAGGCATTGTCAAAAATTAACGAAACTCGATAATGGTTCTAGTCGAATATTTATAGATTATTTGCAACAAACTTTATAATCGCGTTTTATGTAGATGCCCACAAAAAATTCGAGTCTCTAGCTCACATAGGTCCAAAGGTCATACATACGGACAGGGCTAAATCTCAGCTAGACGCTTTATGGAGTCTATTGTATATACACTTGCCAGAAAAACTATGCGTACAGGCCTAATGAGCGACTTTGATAGAGAATAAATATGATAAATAATAGTATATTTATCAATATTATATTTTTAATGGAAAACAACACACATTTATCAACAATTTTTTTTATAATATTAAACAGTTTTTTTTTTATATTTAAAATAAGAAAAAAACAACGAAAATTCACTTAGAAAAAGTATGCGTACAAACTAACAACCCACTGATCTTAATCGTTGTGTGAAGCTTTTAGTACCGTTAAACAGCATATTACGGTAAAGAAAGCATTAAAGAATGTCAATCATGTGTTGGTTTGCATATTTTGTCATTAAGTTGATAGATTTCGTCATGGGCAGAAAAACAAAAGAGATTGATCCCGATCTGAGGAAACTCATCGTAAAATTAGTCAATAACTTTAATTTGACTGGCTCAGTTAAGTCAAAGCCACGCTCTAGAAGGCCCTCAAAGCTGACCAAGAGAGAGAAGGGGGACGTGCTGAAGACGGTGCTGCTAAACCCTGGATTAAATGCAGCAAAGATTAATCAGGAAGTTAAACAGAAGTACAAGAAAGAGCTTCACGAAGACAGCATAAGAAAATTTTGAAAGAAAAATGAATTAAATGCCCATGTTGCTCGAAGAAAGCCGCTCATCTCTGAGCCAAATAAAATCAAGCGGCTGGATTTCGCCAGAAAATACTTGGAAGTCAGTCCAGACTATTGGAACCAAGTAATTTTTAGTAATGAGAGCAAATTCTGTATATTGGGAATCAAGGGGAGAAAGCTTGTGTGGCGAAAGAGGGGCACAGCGTTCGATGTCCAAAATCTAGCTCCAACCGTTAAGCACGGCGGAGGTGGCGTAATGATGTGGGGGTGTATGGCAGCAATTGGAGTGGGCAATTTGGTTTTTATTGAGTCCACAATGAACCATATGGATTACCTCCATATATTGAAAACCAATTTGCAGCAAAGTGCCAGACAATTGGGTCTTGGGGAGGACTTGGGAGGACACACAGCCCACAATGTAAAGCTCTGGTTGCTCTACAATACTAGACACCAGCTTCATTCGCCTCCCCAGTATCGGGACCTTAATCCCATAGAGCATTTATGGGATTTTTTGGAGCGCAGGATCAGAGAGCGAATAATTACATCAAGAGACATGCTCAAATCTGTTCTGATGGAGGAATGGCTAAAAATTCCGGTTGATTTCACCCGGAAATTGGTGGCATCGATGCCAAAACGGTTGGAAGAGACCAAGAATCGAAAGGGTATCCAACCTCATATAAATTTTGCAAATTCTCATTGAAAAAAAGTTATTTTTCTTTTGTTTTTTAGTTTGTACGCATATTTTTCTATGTGAATTTTCGTTGTTTCTTTTTTTTCTTATTTTAAATATAAAAAAAAACTGTTTAATATTATAAAAAAAAAATTGTTGATAAATGTGTGTTATTAAAGTGTTTTCCATTAAAAAATATAATATTGATAAATATACTATTATTTATCACATTTATTCTCTATCAAAGTCGCTCATTAGGCCTGTACGCATAGTTTTTCTGGCATGTGCATGTCAATTTAGTGTAAATGCAAGCTGACAAATTCACACTCATTCACAAATTGGCTATATTTGGAATTGAACTTCAATTTAGAGAGACTTTACATTATCAAGTTTGGGAATTACACATATTTTATGGAATTAAAGGTTTCATTTTTGAAAATAATATATATACTTAAGTACATATACATAGAAAGACTTTGTTTTAGTTTAAAAAAGTGAGTCTTTTAAGAAATCTAACAATTTCGACAAAATCTTTTTTTGGGTATCCCCGACTTAAGCAGCCTACATGTTTTCAATTCAAATGCATTGTTTAAATTGCTCTGCACGGTATTATGACCCCGCTAACATGATTTGATTTTATTGTCATACATATTTATAAGATTATATAGTATGGCCCAAATATATATCCTAAGCTCCACGCAGAATATAAAAAACTTAAAAATGTTTAAAGCTGTAATGCCTTTATCCACATACTAAATATCGTGCATATTATTTATTCATCTGAGTGTATTCAATACATTGGCAAAATTATGTATCGGAAAAATCATTTCAGAAATTTGTTTTACATAATAATCGCCAATCTATCTTTACAAAAGTAAGTAATTAAAACGTTGAGGGGAAAGTGTGACATCCAACTATGTGTATCCAAATCCAAATCTTTTAAATTTATTTTTTAATTTTAAAAAGAATATAATTTAATACCTAAATAAACGATAATGTATATATACCTGCCACGAGTAACATATTGTGGAGGACCATTCAGGGCTTCTATAAGTGAGACGGGAATATAGCCAGGAGGAACATCTGGAGGGGCGGGCTCGCCAGCCACTGTAGTTGGCGTATTCTGATGCAGCATTTGTGTGCTGATACCCTTTTGAACAGCTCGTATTTGTAAGAGTGCACGAAATGGCGCTCGACATATGGGACAGTTATTGGCTTGGTAACGCAGAGAGTCGGCACACGAATTACACAGACACAGATGGCGGCAAGGCAAAATAAGCGTGTCGCGGGTCTCGCTCATGCAAATAACGCATTCACTACCATGATCGTCGATTTCTTCATCGATGGAAGTTTTGTTTACTGCTTTGTTTTCAATGCCGTAGATCTCTTGTAGTAAGTAACATAGACCGTCTACAAATATTTTCTGCTTAAGCGCACGTAGCACATAAGTGCAGGTTTCTGGATGATGGTCAATTACACAAATGGTAGTATGCGATTGACGACATTCTTCATTACCTTCTTCGATGACACAGTGTATTGCTACTGGGTATTGTTCGCGGCCAGTATTGTATATAAGATCATCTTCCGGTATTAACTGTGGGTTAAATACGTGGCTAGGTTGTGAGAAACATTGATTTATACCTTTCTCGTAATGGTAAGTATCAGATGAAAGGGAAAATCCTTCCCGGGGCGTCAGTTTGATGCCAGTGGGACTTACATCTTCAGTGCAAAAGTAATACACCGTAATTGCACATTTTGCATCCGAGTCGAAGGTAAACTCAATGTTGTAGTAATAATTTTGTGGCACCGTCTCTGTTCCGCTATCTACTCCACTTATATTACAGAGGACATTGCCGTCCATTTCCTCAACAGATGCTACTCCGGTAATTTCCGTTAGTTTTTTATTTTTTTCGTTTTGTTGCAAGGTCTCAGCATCAGCACAGCTTGACTTTTTGTCGTTTGAAAGTCGCACAAATCGCACAGATTCCTTTCTTATGTTGACGAGACTCTTCAGAGTTTTGGTTGGCTCGTTGGCCTGCGGTGGTGGATAGGGAAAAGCTGTGGGGCGATTACCCAGGAAATTAAGATCTGCATTCTCTCCAAATAAATAAGACTCTGGCTGGGGCGTGTCAAATCGCTCACCACCCATTATAAAGTGGGTTCCGAAGAAATTTCCAATACGAGGTGGATATTTATATGCATGATTGGTGATATGGTCTGCTTCTTCGACAGCTGCGTTTTGTCTGCTCACAAAATTACCCATTGCCGCAGAACTTTTTATTAGTTTCTAGCTTTCACTTTGCACTGTTATATATTTTATGCTTAGCTTATTATTTCTGTAGTGATGGTAAATGGGAACATCGATGTTTACTATCGATGTCTGTCAATGCTTAGTCGATGTATATTAATATTTTGTAATTCTTCGGTTTTTGTTGACAAAAAGGAGAACCTTCTGTTCAGCGGCTTTTGCAATATATATTTAGTTCGAACACGATTTTGTTTCTGCTAGTGGAAACAAATTTTATTATGAATATATTTAAAAATAAAACTTACATTTTTTGTAACAGTGTCACGTAATTAGAACACTGAGAACAAGTGGAGATGATTAGTAAACTTGAAAAGTTGAAAGAAAACCGCTAGCGTATATTTCATTTAAATGCTTGAAGCTTAAACAGAATGAACACAATAAACACACAACTCCAAAATAATAATTAAAAGATTTTAGGGCTTGATTTTTTTAAAATCATTTAGGAATTTTTGGCGCTTATTTTTAATACCAGATTAATTATTTTAACAAAAGCGAGGATATTATGGTTGCAAACATAATACACTAATTTTTACAGCGTGAAATTAACATCAAAATTGATTAATTTCATATATAGTATAGTAATTTCATATATAGTAATTTAAAAAGTATCTTTAATGTTAAGTATTTTAGTTAAGTATGTAAAGACAGTGTCCGTTGTGTATTTCTGTTAGATATATATCTAAAAAATTGTAATGTTAAGTATCTGTTAAGTTTTAATGGAGTCCATCCGATAAAGTGCACTATTGTCTGCTTCTGTCAAACTATCCTGTGGAAAATTATTCTTATGTATAGGCCTTAATCCCAATAATCTTCGGATTTTAATCAATGAACTCGTTTTATTTAATTTTTTTCTGAAGTGTTGAAACCACAACAGGAGTAAGCAGCAATTTTATTGATGCATCTTCAATGTGCATAATACTTAAATATTTAGATAGTAAATGTTGATTATTAATGATCCTTATTCACATACTAGCCATTATCAACATAGTTTTGAATTTTAACGAAATATGAATAAAGGATTGACCATTTGTATGGTATTTACTATTTAATTTTATTATTTACTATTTAATTGTATTTTGATTGCTTTAAAACATTTGTTTGAAGTCTGCGTAAGTGGACTCAGATGTGATGTCACAGCAGAAATGTTAGTTAACATTCAAAGTAACGGAACGGCTGTTTGCTATCCTACTGAGTATTCTGTGCTGTTAATCGTGAAGAAATGACTCATTTGGCACTGAAATCTTAGCTATTAATCTTAGAAAATTATTTAGAATTTTAGGCAAGCTTAAAGAGTTCCACGATACAGCTTTACCAGATAAATTAAAACATGTATTACATGGTATATTCTATATAATATAATTCTATTCTCTTAGTTCTGAACGCAAACCATCCGCCATCGAAGCAAGAGACCGGAATTTTAGGTATACACTGCTGTATACACATACATGTATACGCACATACTTTATGTATATGCATATGTATGTATTTTTATACCCTGATCCCATTGAAATGGAAAATCGGGATATAATGGATTTGTACAAACAGGCGGAAGGAGGCGTGGCATACCCCATAAAGTGTATATAGTCTTGATCAGGACGACAAGCCGAGTCAATTGAGCCGTGCCCATCTGTCAGTCCGTCTCGATACCGACTGCAAATTTCCCCAAATTCTTTAAATTTAAGTTCAGTTAGAAATAGGTCCAATAAGTGAAAGAGATTGCATTTCTACTAATCCAATAAAAAATGCTGAAATTTCATTAAAATGCATTGAGTAAAACCGGAGTTATTGAACAAAACGCTTAGCCAGCAAAAACACGTTGCAATTAGCGCTAAGCGGAAGGATTTTTCCTATACAAGTGCACACATGCATTTAAATGCGTGTATTGTTTTATATTCCAAGAATCGAAATTGCTATTGAATTAACAGCTGCTGCTTAAGTTGAGATTTGCACATTCTTCCACAGTGCAGTGGCGGTGTTGGTAGAGGCGGTGCCCGTAGGCGAAATATTTGGGTTTGAAGTGCTGGTGTTGATGGAGTTGAAGCGCGTTGCGTAGACAATGTCGATTCAAATCTTGGTGTCGGAATGTCGGTTTTGATTTCTTTTTTCTTTTTTTTAGTACTCGATGAAATCTATTGAAAATATTAAAAACACAAATAGAACTGGGATCAGGGTATCTCCTTAACGGACACCCCAAATGGAGCTTTCCTAATTGTTTGCATTGAGTTTGATTGTAAAAGAAGACAATTAACAAAATTGTTTTTTAATTAATAGCATATAAAAAATAATTCTGAAATTTTTTAATTTTATATTTTTTTAGTTAAGAAACTACAAAATCAACGGATTTCAGCAAACAAAATGTATGCACCCTGTTATTTAAACGTTTTTTACAGCTACACCATTATTATTGACTACATCTATGGATTAGACAAAAATGTTTTGTCCATGCATATTAGTCCTATGACAACACGACTGTATATTCTACAGTTAGAAACTCAAAATTTAACACCTAGCGTTAGCAACGCTTAGGATGTGAATGAATATGATGCAGACGATAGCGCCTGGCTGCAATGTTCTCTCTTGTTTTCATACGTGCATATTATTGTTCGAGTTTTTTTTAAAATTTGTGCGCATATATAATTAATGTGCTATTCATAAAAAAAAAGCAATTTTATCAATAGCTGCAAGTGATTTTTTTACAATCAATGCTTTGCGCCGTGCTTCTGGCAAGTGTATACATATTGTAACGAAACGATTTACGTTCATAAGAAGACGCACGAAACGAGTATTACCTATGCTCGTACTTACAGATAAAGCAAATCACATATGGAACAAAATTTACTTTGTGAAAATTTGTAAATCTCTTATTTATCTTAATCTGTAGTTTATTTTAACATTCAGAACTAAATTAGCAGCTTTTGAAATATTCCAGAAAAACATCAAAATGGGAACTCAGAACAGTCACTTCAGACCTCAATATAAATAAGCCTATACATAGTAGTTTTTTTAAGCTGTGAATTGTTAAGTGTTTTGACGATCGTCTACGAAAAGCTTTTTTCTAGAAACGTCACTAGCTAAATGTTGGTGAAACCGCAATACCTCATTATTTACACACATACATATACATACATATACATCCATACATATATCAACCCCGCAGTAACAATAGAATATCTCTTGTCTCATTCACACATTTCTCTCTTTCAAGTTTTAGGGCAGGCAAAAGCTTACCCGAAGAGAAAAGCAATAACTAGGAAAATGTACCCAGCAGAAAATTTAAACACTACTCAACAAGTAATAGTAAGTGAAATATTACGCGTCTGTTTAGAACAACGAAAGGTATCTAATATTGCATATATATATCCTACGCACGGGCTTTCAATGCTGAGAATTGGCCTTACATAGATATTTATATAAATAAATATATATATATATATATATATATATATATATATATATATATATATATATATATATACATATGTGTGTGTGTGTGTATATGTCTTTCAACACAAATAAAGCTCGTAGTTGGATAGCTTCTGTTTAATATCTTCATTGAAATAATAACTCATTACCGGACCGATTCTGATTATATGGGATCATCATCAATATTGCGATGTTGATATAACTATATCTTAAACATATGATAAATGGTACATATTATAAATGGTATTTTCTCCCGATACTTCAAATGAAAATCTATATTATGGAGTTCGTTCCCATGGACATACATACGTTAAACAGAAGTGGAATTTTAAGGCATAAGCCAAAAAGCATATAAGCTAGTATGTAGATTAATTTGTTCAGTTTGTGTTGCAGAGTGTAATCGACCTTTATTATGGAAACAGGGCGTAAAAGCTATATCAGCAGCACAACAGCGGTGGCGACAGCGACGCAACGCTTGGCGCTTTATGTACATACATGTATGTATAAATACTCAGAGTCAAATGGGAATGCTTTCATTCTCCTGTAGTGTTTAAAGTGACATGAAAGTGACGACGTTGGTGCACTACATCAAGTCATGTATCAGCATGTCCAACCAAGCAACACAAATCATATTTATGCCGATGGTGAGTGGACCTTTCAAATTGGAATCCAGCTACCAGTATGAAAAATACCAGACGATTTGCCTTTCAATATTTTTTTTTTTTTGTAAACTGGTGTGAATTTATTTTTGCTCAATATTGGTCGTGTGTTAAGTGGCGAATCATACAGTGACTGATGCAGCATGTGACACCGACTCAGTAAGAAATTATTAATCGCATATGGATGATATCAATACACAAAAAATAGATGCTTGATTTTGTGATATAATACTAATGAATATCCAAAAAACAATACTTTGGGCGACTGACAGACGGAGAGAGCTAAAATCCCAATAAAACTCAGAATTCATGTGAAGTCTTACGCATGCGTTAAACAGAAAAAAACAACGGGTAACGGTGCACTCTGTGCTATGCGACACGTACTGAAGTGTATGAGTATTCTTAAAACAGCTGTTGCAGTCTTTATAGTTGGCTAAGTTTAATAAAAATAAACTTCACAGTCAAAACAGCTTAACAGTGCAGCACTAAGACTACTGGATGACTCAAGCAACCAAAAGATTTCATGTCCTAGACCTGCCCCACAGAAATAGATAAATATGTAAAATAGGTAAATATATGGATTGATCTCATTGGAGCCCAAGCCATCCGGTTACGTAATATTATTGTTAACAAATTTGTTTATTGTCTAGTATAAGACAGACAGAAAAAAAATATATATATGTATATATATATAATGTATGAATGTGTATTGCGCTTGGAGCCATAAATAGATGTCCTAACATTATTAACGGTACCACTAAAGCCAATATGTTATAAGAAATAAATTTTTTATTGTTTACGTTTAATTTTAATAGCGACGTACATATATTATAAAAAATTGATCTAAAATACGTATCTAACTTTAAAAAATAAAAATAAATTGTGGAACTTCTTTGACTCGTATAACTTATTTATTTTAAATATATTTTATGTGTAAATTACCATCAGATTACTAATCTTCTTGTATGAACTACGATTAGTATATTTTTATATTTTATTTATG